TTGAACCGCAAAATTTGCATTTTTCTTGGACGCTTTTGTTACCAGGTCAAATTCCGCTTTTGAAATCCTTGAAAAAAACAGAAACAAACGATAAAAATGCCAATGATAGCAACAATAATAAGTGACGAAGAAAACATCAATACTAAGTGACCTTAATTTGTACCGACAGCCTAAGATCATAAATACATTTAAGATGTCTTCTGAACCGGATAATGAACCTAAAAAAGTTCCTTGATAAAAAAAATAAAACTACAGCAAACTTGGTATCCAAAGAGTCCAAAGGAGCCTAACTCTATAAAAGCTTTGGAGAGAAAGACCAGAAAATACAATGCATATGCACTGAGTTAAAAAACGAACATTATCTCCATATTCAAGGACAGGAGAACATGTTACAGAAGATAAATAACGTATGATACGGAAATAATATTTGATATTAAGCCCATCAGACTTATAAAGGAGCCCATTTCAGAAAAAAATCGAGTAAACCAATTTGAATGAGGAAGAAGCTCCACACTGAATCTTACATCTAAGCTGAAATTTCTGATGTATATTATATCTGTTATCATTGTGAACGTAGTAGAACGTAAATAACACTAGAGTGAATTTCTTTTGCCCCTGGTCGTATCATTTACGGTCTGCAACTTAGTAGGAACATAAACCCTACCACCACCAGCCTATTCAAAATAAAATAAAATAATAATAATGAAACCACCAAAAATGAGTAGGAATGTAATTCCTAATCAATTGGTTTAATGCCTTCACCATTCTTACATAATATATTGACGTTGACATCAAATGGTTAACTGTCAAATCCTTACCTGTGTATTCCATTTCTTCCTGTTCTTATCTTGTCAACTTTCGCGATTGCAGGCTCTAAGTGACAGTTGCTGACTGTAGGGCCTGCAATAATCTGGTACAATTCTTTAACCTTTGGAATCCAACCTCTGAACAAGAGGCAGCTCCCTTTTCTCTTGCTACATTATATATCAGCAATCTCTGCATTCATCTGTAAAAGCAAACACTCAGCAAAAACTAATACTCAATTGACTTATAAACTTCTTCAATTAACCTGTGAAATCTTACTTCCCATTCTTTTTCGCTGTGGCATCAAGAAGGTGTGAGATCATCCACCATTTGCGTCTTAACAGATTCATTTTTGCGGTCTCTGGTCCAGGAAATACAATAGATATAAAAATATCAAAGAAATATTGTTACAAGGCCAGATTCTCCAATTATGAAATAAAGACCTTTACCCTTTTATAAAACAACCATCCATAAAGCTCCAGAAATGGTTCCTTTTTTCTTCAAGTTCATGTAAAAAAATTCAGGTTCCAAATTTCTGAAACAAAAAAATCCTTAATCCTGAACCAGTTTTGAAATAGAAGACTTTAACCTATAATTATTTAAATAAATTAAAAAAAAAAAAAAAAGCTCCTTTAAATATTTAAAAAAAAAAAAAAAAGCTCCCGAATAAACTCTCTGCTGAATTCATTGATTTTACAAAATTATCCCATTTTCCTATAATTTAGAAAGAAAATACAAGCCATTAAGCAATACAATGTAAGTAAGAGAAAAATACCTGTGAAGACAGAAATTGAGAATTGCACTTAAATAAAATTCAGTCCGGTCTCCCTGCGGTCTCAAAAGATCTTTGAGAGTAAATTGCAGTTTGCAACCCACCATGCTCACCATCTCTCTTATTCTAATGCACAAATTCATGATCCTAACCGAGTCTACGTGATGGTCTGGGTTCTCAAGCTGCTCCAGAGCAGCGAACTCAACTTGCCCTTGATCTTCTCTACAAAAATTCATAAAATCCACAAATTAAAACTTTCTATAATGCCAAAATACAAGTACTCTCTTTGAAAATTGGGGAAAGGAAAGAAGAAGAAGAAGAAGAAGAAGAAGAAGATGATGATGAAGAAGAAGCGTACTCTTGAAGAAGATCAAGATGGATGAGAAGTCGGGTGTATAGATCCGATAAGAAATCTGCGTTTGGGTTCTTGAGGTCGTTTTCGGTTATATTGGCGATTTGTGACTCTGCCAATATCGTCACTATTTCCGAGCGGGAGAGTCTCGGAAACTCGAACTTCGACATGTTTCAGTTGAATTCAGTAGGAGATAGAGGAAATGGAGTTAGGTTTTTGAACAAATGAAGAAGGAAAATATGAAATTTGTTTTCCTTTCTGTTTTACTCAGCTTTCTTGACTACCAAACAGAACGTTTCTATGATAGATTGAAAAAGAATTAGGTTTGACAGAAATTATTTTCCCGCTCAAAAATTTAGGTGGGTTTTTGAGTCAGGTCATTCGCGTGGACCGGATAGCAATTAATGGACCAGATTTGATATGGGCCGACAGCATTTAGGAACAAGCTTTTTTCTGTCTACAAAATACCACAGCTCCCGTTTACTATTTTAAACGATTTCTTCCCGTTCTTCATCCAAAACTTTTATTAAATTAATTGATTTTCATCTGCACAATTTACTAGCAATTGAACATATATTAAAAAAAAAAAAATTCTTCATTTTGTAACACTTCAAACTTTCTTCTCCAGTTCCTCTCCTGTCAATCTCTCACTAATTTCAGCTTCACATACCGAAGCTTCAGTTCATTAATGGACACTCCATACCCCAAACCCATTTCTCCAACCGAAACACGCATAGGCTGGATAGGTATCGGCATAATGGGAGCTGCAATGGCCTCTCGCCTACTCTCCGCTGGTTACACTGTCACTGTCTATGCTCGCAACCCATCAAAAGCCTCCCCTTTGCAAGCCAAAGGAGCCCATCTCGCCAATTCTCCATATGATGTTGCAAAGTGTAGTGATATTGTCTTCACCATGGTTGGACACCCATCAGATGTTCGATCAATTGTCTTAGGGAGCCAGGGCAAAGGCATTATTGAAGGACTAAATCCAGGTGGTGTTATAGTTGATGCCACTAGTAGTCATCCTGCTCTCGCACGTGAAATATTTGACGCTGCACGTGCAAAAGGTTGCTGGGCTGTTGATTCTCCAGTTTCTGGTGGGGATATTGGTGCAAGAGATGGAAAGTTAGCCATTTTAGCTGGTGGAGACGAGGGTGTCGTTAATTGGTTATCACCCTTATTTGGGTTGCTGGGTAAATTTACTTATATGGGTCCTGCAGGTTGCGGACAGCATTGCAAGATAGCTAACCAGATTGTGGTGGGGGCTAATTTGTTGGGTTTGAGTGAAGGGCTTGTGTTCGCAGAGAAAGCAGGGTTGGATATGAAGAAGTGGATAGATGCAGTGAGAGGAGGGGCAGCAGGTTCAATGGTGATGGACTTGTTTGGGGAGAGAATGATAGGGAGGGACTTTAGGCCAGGTGGTTTTGCTGAGTATATGGTGAAGGATATGGGTATGGGTGTGGATGTAGTTGAGGAGAGGGAGGATGAGAAGGTGCCAGTGTTACCTGGCGCTGCTTTGGGTAAGCATTTGTTTGCCGGAATGGTGGCAAATGGAGATGGGCATCTTGGCACACAAGGTCTTATAACTGTCATAGAGAGGCTCAATGGCAAGTAAGGTTTTTCGTCTCTTCTCTCTGTGGTTGTAGCTTGAGTATTTTCTGTATATGTTTCCCCAGAAACATCTAATGTATTGCCAAGAATGGATTGTTATTGCTCAATACATTGAATCACAAATGATTGCTCATTGTGGTTTATCCATGTAAACTAGGACGTGTGTTTTCACCATAATATTTAGTTAAAAACTTGCTCTTTATATGTGATAACTACTCCCAGTTTTTGTCACTTGAATGATGCAAAGTGTTTTTTGATGCACGGTGAAGAAAATTTTAATTTTTTTTTTCCATCTGAAGACAAGGTTTTACACATAAATTAACAAAAGATGAAAATAAGCATACTTTTAATGCTGGTTAACTTAGTGCAGATACAGTTCATAACATTGTTTGAATATTTCATCCCTTATTCATAATATTAAATTTTGGATATTTAATTTGGTGTGGCTACAAAATCAGTTGTATTGTATTTCTTAAACAAAAGGGAGCACGTCATTGTATTTCAGTTTATACTCTTATCTCAAAAAATATGATGCTAATGCCTTTACCCTTCTGACTTTCTGAAGCTGTGAGTGTGACACCAAGACAAACAGTTTGCACAAGTATTTTTCAGACATGTAGACTACTCGTAGATTGATGGCATAAATGAAACATTCAAAACTACATGTGTCTATTCAATTTAACGTATGTGCTTTTGTAAATCCCGCTTCATATGAATGATTTATTAGTTGACTTAAATCCCGCTTCATTGTTTTTCTCCTTTTGAACTCATTAGTTGATTTCTAGGATCATCTTCTTTAATATAAGCTGATTATATATCGAATATGCAAATAAATCGTATTGATTTAGAACAGAAGTTAAATCTTCCCTTCTCTTTCTTCGACTCGGAAAAAGAAAATACAGGAAGTTCCCAAAGACCAAAAAAGAAACAAAGAATCTTAAATCAAGACTATTTGGGCCTTATTTCAATGCTATCAATTACAAGCCCTCCTTTCAGTTGACAACCCTTGACTTCCATGAAACTCATTTTTACCTCCTCATCATTCTCACCTGTAAAGAACTCCCCCAACTCAATTTCATTCCACGCATCATCTCTTTCTCTTGGCATTTTTTCCTGTTTGTCTTTCAAGCTTGTTTCTACTACTTCTGTGGGATTTGTATTATCCAGGCACACAATTGGCTGTTTGTTGTTATCTTGGCAATGTAGATACCCAGTGCTAGATGATACTTGGTTCCCCACTTCAACTGACATTTCTGAGGGTATGAAATCAAGCCCATATGCACGATCCGAAATTTTCATTATGAGATAAGCTCCGTATTTTGTATTTGGCGACAGCATTTGAGTTCTGATTTTGCCTTGGATTTCTAACCACCAGGTTGTTCTGAGTATGGCTACCTCTGAAAATCTGTAGAGAAGATGAACCATGTTTATATATTCTTACTACTGTTCAACTTTGTTACCCTTTTTAATTTTAGCTAGCTAGCTATGCTGTATGGTATCTTATTGAAATAAATTACAAGAAGAGAGAAGAAGAGGCGTGGGGGAGATATCAACCTTGATTCAGTTGTTGGCATCCAACTCCAATATGTTGGAACATCACCCCACATGATAAAAAGCTCTCGTGCAGACAGTGTGCAGGATTTTTTGCCGGATGATTTCTCTAATTTGAAGCTCTGTAAAGAGAAAAGAAAATACTTGAAAATGAGATGTTAATTACACATCATTGTTGTTCATATCTGGGTTCTTTAAGCTCTCTCCCCATATCAATCACAAGGGCAAGAAAGTTTGAAATATCACCTAATATAGTGTTGATGCTTTTATGTATTATTCATATTTCTTATATTTGTGGATGGTTTCATGTATATTTGCTTTATTGGTGATATAATCAATCATAGAATTGCTCTGTAGAATAGAAGAGTGTAGTGTCTTCATTTTATCTTAGGCTTTAAAAGCAGAGTCATATTATATGCAAAGGAAGTGCAAGTCATACCTTTCTACCAGCATCTATGAGAACTGGCTCGCACAGACGAAGATAAAGCTCTTTCTTTGAAGAGAACTTCAAAGGAGTGACAAGTCTTGAGAGAATATCATGATAATCCACTGGCAGAAATCTTTCCCAGACAGCGTCCGAGTCCATAGCCGACCGAAAATCAGAAGATACAAGTGATGATCTACAGACATCAAGTGGAGATGTAAAGGATAGAATTTTGGAGACACAACCTTCTGGCAACATGTTAGCTTGAAACCTCTCTTTTTTCGTCCCCTGTGTTTGCATTAGTGTGTAAATTTAAACATAAACAAGCTGACTTCAACTTCTTTAAAGTTTCTCAGGGAAAGGAGAAGAGAGCAAAAGAGAAGAAGGGTGTTTGGTTCAAGATTTTGAGCTATTCTTGCCAATGTACAAACCGTATGGCTATATTTAAATAGAAGCACCGGATTTTAAAGATATGGTAAACGTCAGTATCCTACCACCTTAGCAACATGATGTTGTCACTGAAGCAAAAAAATGTTGACAAAAGGAGTACAGAATTTAAGCTCTCCCACCGTTTTATATTCAACACATCCTTATCCTATTCTTTATTATCTTTTTCACCTTACCAGATTTCGTTACTTTTTTTTGTTTTTTACCTTCTACCCTTTTTTTAGCGCATTGGATATATACTGAAGGGAATGAGGGTTGGCAAGATTCCTTCTGAACCATGAGAGATAAACTCAATCAACAAGCTATTTTATATTGCAATGGAAATATATTAAAGGGAATTGGTTGGGGTTGGCAGGATTTGAGCCTCTTGAGCTTCTGAACTATGAGCTATTGTCGGACAATTTTGAAGAAATTGTACTTGTTAGTGTTTGGTTTATTAAAAGAAAAATTACAGTTGTGAAAAAGAAAGAATGGGTTGCCCATTTTATCTGTTAAAGGAAGGCAGGCTCTAAGCTATTTTATATTGCAATGGAAATATATTAAAGGGAATTGGTTGGGGTTGGCAGGATTTGAGCCTCTTGAGCTTCTGAACTATGAGCTATTGTCGGACAATTTTGAAGAAATTGTACTTGTTAGTGTTTGGTTTATTAAAAGAAAAATTACAGTTGTGAAAAAGAAAGAATGGGTTGCCCATTTTATCTGTTAAAGGAAGGCAGGCTCTGTTATAGAGTTGGAAGAGCCTACTTCTTCTTTTAGAACTATTCTCTTCTCCAATAGAACTATTAATTATTCTTAATTCACTTCTTTATCAAGTAATTATTTTCTTTTCTTGGTTGTCTTTGTCTTTCTAAAATCCTCCATATTATGCAAATTCCAAGTTTACAGCTAATCAATTTATTGTTAAATGGTTCTTGAGTTGGGCCTTGATGGTGCAATGGCGTGTTCATGTGAAGAAGAAATTTGTAATCCAATTACGTAAGCTGAAGAAAAATATAACAATCAACTTCATCTTGTCTTCACATTATTCTAAACATTTAGGTCTCACATTCTTCCGTTATAAATAAAATAATAATAATAATAATAAATAATATCAATAATTGAATTTGTAATCGTAACGTCAAGTATGCTTTTTCTTTTATTATTATTTTTTTAGAACATATATGTTTCTTGATTGTACCATGTGGTTAAATTCTTAAAATAAATGTTAAAAAAGAGATTCTAAACAGTTATTTATGGTTAAAATTCAAACTAGATGAATAACTGTTTCTTCGTGATTTCTGGCTGTACACGGCTGATAAAGAGATGCGACAGGTCGTTTGAGGAACGGCTTTTCTGATCGAGTATATTTTCATTCGTCAAGCCCATTGATGATTGCTTTGTCAAACAAGAACCAATAATCCATTGATTTTAGTTACAGTTTTTTCGTTCTCTTTATATGTTTCTTGCACCAGATTGGATATTACTAAAGTTTTTTTTTTAAATTTTTTGTTTATTAATTTCCTGTATTTACATTCTCTATTTCTACAATTATAAACTTATAGAAATTTGTTTTGCAATTTACATTTTCAAAACTTGTTTTAAATACAAGAAGAGCATGCAACTAGAAGACACTTCACATTAAAAGAAAACAAAAAAAGCAAAGATCAATTCATAATATTCACCAAAAACAACTCATCACTCTAGGAAAGATAAACTTTAATTTATTCCATTTTTTGTCTTTTACTTGAAAAATTACTAGCTATTTTAGTATTTTTTTTCAGGTATCTTGGTCATACCATGTTTAACATTTAAGCTTTTCTTGAATAGAATGTTCCTCAAACTCACAAGGAACAATGCTTTCTTGTTACAGTCGTCAATGGCGGATCTACTATGCAAATATTCCTCCTCTCAAAACCACAAAACTGTGCTTTCTTCTTTGTTCCACTTTCAAGCACATTAATTAACTAAAATATAAAAAGTATCATCTTTACGAACAAAAGCAAATTAATCCAACCGGAGAAATTAAAGATGGTGCAAGAAGTAGCAGCAGCAGCTAGGGAAAGTGTGATAGTTGTGATGGATGCTAATAGAAGTAAAGGAAACATGGATGCATTAGACTGGGCTCTTAAACATGTCGTTCGCCGCCAAGATACTGTTATTGTTATTGGAGTTTCTAGTGACTTAGGAAAGAAGAACTCTTGTTTTCCTCTTAACATGGGTATTAGCATCTCTGGAATATGTAAGCTCTTAACACTAAGCCTGAGTTTATTGCTAATTGCTGAAAATTTTCATTAATTTTAATTGCACAATATTTACATCTTGTTAGGGGAAAGATTGGAGTTTTCAAGCCAAGGACAAGGAGAAGCTAGACCAAGAGAACTTGGAGAAGAAATTGAGAGAAAAAAAGAACAATATCAGAATAACCTCCAACCATTCTACAGACAGTGCAAAAAGAATGAGGTTTGTGTAGTGCTTCCAACTTTTCTTAAATTGCAGAGTAATGTTATATATAAGGATACTTGTTGCAGGTGAACATGGAAGTTAAACTTGCTTTTGGATTTTGTCCTGAGAAAATTACAGTTGAACAAGCTCAAAACTCAAATCCTCGTTGGATTGTATTAGACAGGTAGTAATAGAATTGATTGGGAAAATCAGAAGTTAATAATAGAATATCAGAAAGGTTTTAAAGTTCAGTTTTTTTTTTTTTTTTTTAAAGCGTTAAAATATTTCCTTCTGTTGTAACTAATGCAGTTATTTGAAGAAACACAAGGTAATCATTTATGCACATATAGGATGCAACATTGCAGTAATGAAAGAAAAAGATGTAGCAACTTTAACACCAGCAAAAGCTCCTCCCCCTCGAAGTTGCACCCAAACTAATAATTCTGATTTCATCATTAAAAAACCTGAAGGCAGTAACAGTAATAATCAAGAAGGTTTAAATAATCCCGTTCAAGAAGAAGAAGGCTCATCTGCACAAGCTCGAAGTCCTTGTTGGTATCCATTGTCATGGAGAAGTGGATATCCTCGTGCATTTTCACAAACTGAGCTCGAAGAGATAACAAATGGTTTTGCGCAAGAGAATTTTCTTGCTGAAATTGATAACACTAAAGTTTATGAAGGAGTGCTTGAAGAAACTCCTGTTTTGGTTAGGTCTTTCTCGGAAAATGATGAACGCTTTTGGACAACGCTTAAGATCCTTTCTCGAGTTCGACACAGAAATGTATCAAGTCTTGTTGGGTATTGCTGCACTGGAACTTCTGCTTTCTCGCTCTCCGATTACCCTTGCTTGGGAACTCTCGAAATGAACCTGCTAAGTCTGTAACTCTTTTCTATTCCAATATAACCGTGACAAGAAATATATATATCTTATTATATTTATTATGAAACTAAGGCTTTTGAGTGTTTAGGTGATGACTTAGCCAGGAACCTTTCATGGAAAGCAAGATGGTATATTGCAGTAGAAATAGGTGGAAGCCTGCGTTATCTACACGAAGAGTGTGTTGATGGAGGAGCCATTGTTCATCTATCTGTTTGTTCCTGTAATATTGTTTTCTCTAGTGGTTGCTCTACTATGGTATGTTTAAAGTACTGTGTTACCATTTACCAGAATTAAACATCAAAGTTTAAGCTTTCTGATTGCCATTCAATTCTGCATAAAGCTGATTTTTCTTTTTGATTGCCATTCAAGCTTGCTAACTTTGTAACTGCTAGATGGCTTAAAGATGATGCTTCCACCAATAATGAAGATTCTGAAGCTGAGTAAGAAATCTTTATATATACATATATTAGGTTATTTCGCCTGCAGTAGGATTTCTTTAACTATGATGAGATGATGAGATCTTCTTTGATGCGTGAAGGTGTGTAAATCTAGAAATAGATGAAGGTTGTGCTATTGATGTACATGATTATGCGGTTTTGCTTATTGAGCTAATTAGTGGAAAGAGTGCTCGTTGGTATCAAAATAAGAGTGGAGGTCAAAGTTTGAATCAATGGGTAAGATTTTACATCTGAATTTTTCTGGTACAATTTTGACGGCAACTTCAATTACATATAGATTGCACATTGTAAGAACTGCAATTTGTTTCATTTCTATTTAATGATCCTTTCTGGTGTAATACAGGCATTGCCACTTCTCGAAGGTCATCTGATAAGTGAAGTGTTAGATCCTAGACTGGAAGATACCAGTGATACAAGGGCAGTTCATCATATGATCAAGGCTGCTTTACTCTGCTTGAAAAATGATATGGGTCAGAAGATTTCTATGAGTGAGGTAAGTTTTTACTGCTGATTATTATTCTTCATATCTAAAACATTCAAAGCAAGAAATACATTTCATTTTTAATGAGGCTTAATGAAACTTGTGCAGGTCTTAGCTGTAGTTCGTGGAGATAAGCTTGCAATGGCTAAATGTTGAAGTTCCTTAATTAAGGACTGGTAAAAATAATTGTCATTCAGAATCATGACAAGATATTTTTCTTGCACAGGATGGAGAACAAGTTAAAAATGACTTGCTTTCAGCTTTTTCCTTTTTCCAACTTTTCTTAAGATAAATTTCAAATATTAAGGACATGGGAAGATAACTTTAAATATAACCTACATGGTCTTCAACCAATACCCATATCTTTATTTTTCCTTCAAGAGCTAGTGCTAATATACATATAATATAACTATAGTCTGTTCTTCCAATATATTAGTTAGCAAAAAGCTATTTCTAGCAGTTGAATTAAAAGCCGGGTAACGCTTACTTCTTTCAATGCCTCTGTCAAACCAGCTTCATCTGCAACTCCATTGTTTGTCAATAACATAGAACTGGGTAAGCAATAAGGTCGACCGCTTGCGACTCAAACTGGTATTTTGGAAGAACAACTACTTGTGGTCCTTATAATGTAACTGTGCCACTTCTTGCGAGAGGAAAACCAAATTTTCTTGTTTCGACAATTATCGTTGAGACAGATTTTGCTTCCATTCCTAGCAGTAGAAGCATCTGCTCTTTCAACATTCTCTATGAATGAAATGAAGCCAGAAATCAACAATCAAATAAAATTCGAAAATTGTACCATTAAAAAGAGGCCATACAGCTAAACTTAAGGAACAAAGAAGAAAGATAATGGAATAATTTTGTAAAACGATCCAACTTGTTTTGGAAAAGAATATAGAAGCAAAAGGGTCCCAATAACTGAATATGTAAATAGATAATTTAGGTGGTAATATGTTAGACATGCAGAATAACAACAAAGGATGTAAGAGCTCCGACAGCTAGTTTGTCATATATAGCAAATGATATGAACAAAAAATTTGATTACCTGGAAGCCATTTGGTTCCAAACTCAGTTATCCTTTATATAGAGATATTCCTCAGGGCCTTTGACTTCATATGATGCTTGGACAATATCTCAGCAATGAGTTGGCTACCAAATAAGTGTGAGTTCTTAAGAATTAGGTTTCTTGTTGAAGAATCAACAACATAACCTTGGCCAGGCATCCATTGTAGCAATTGAAGGAGCAAGTCCTTCTTTTCAGGTTGTGTAATATAACGGGATACAGCCATATGAAATAGTTCCTGGAGAAAATTTGAAAAAGGAAAAAATGAATATGCAGCAAGGTACTCACTTTATAGAATATAAAGCAAAGGCAAGTAGGATGCTTAGTTTTTAAAGCCAAATGCAATTATTTCCCATAACCAAACAGCAAAAGTGATTGAGGCTTTAAATAGCCCACGCCCAACCGTTCAAGTAGATCAACCAGCATATTGAAATGAGGTGATAGAAGCCTTATCTTCTTGAGTTATTCATACAAAGTTTGGGCTATTAACCTATTTATGACATGCAATACTTTCCTTTATCAGCAATTCTGCAGCCATATTCACAGAGGATTGATATGAATGCTACTTCAGGGAATTGCAAGTTCCAAGAAACCTTTGACCTTGACTGCCTCTATATATATGCACAGTTATGCATACACATCTAACTATTTAATTTGTAAGTGCATTCATCCTTTCTTGATCGGAGTAAAAATTCACAATTCTAGCACACACAACTTCCACCAATACTCCCTCTTTCTTTACCCCTTCTTCAGTGCTAGGCTAATTTTCATTAAATGCTTTGAAATGATATTTGCGTCAGAAGCAAAAGGCCAAGAATCTAGGTCTTGGCAAGTTAGCATTTAGGCCATCAGCACCTTATATCAGTGTACATCAAATGTTCACCGAGTCAAATTGAACATGGATCCTACCTAAGACAATTGCACGATGGATTGCATTATATTCAGATTTTTATGATAGTGAGAAATACAAGTTGCAAAAGTTTTCAATATGTTTTTGGACTGGCAATAAGTTCTCAATCGCATAGATGGAAACCACATATTTTGATATCTCATTGTTCATAATCTCACAAGATAAGACTATCATATAATCCTCACTACCAAACTTATCCCATGAATTCATTACGATAATTATGAACAGCAACTAAACGACTATGATGCTTTCATAGAACTTAGTTTCATCCCAAGGTTCATAATATTTACCTGATCAATCTTGTATCCAGAACCATGAATAACCTTCATGGCATCGTTTATTAAATTGATATTTCCCAGCTTCATAAATGAATTTGCAAACTTCTTTATAGCAGCTTGAGAAATCAATTCAGCATTGTCCTAATAAGAAAAGTTTGGGATCAATAAAAAGAGTAAAGCACATATTAAATAGTCCGCAAGACTAGAGTAAATTATAAAAGGAATCAAAATGTGGGACATGAACCAAACAAGGCCTCAAGTCTTTATTTGAGGAAATCAAGGACCTCAAAATTCTAGTTACACCTCACTTTGTGCATTTCCAGAAATTGGTAGGCCTCATAGTTCAGCCTCACCAAAAAATTGCTAATGTGGGGTATAACTACTGACTATAAATTTTAAAAGAACAAAAACCATGCTGGCGAATAATAGCTATAAGAATAAATAAAGCAATAGAAGAATAATGAAAAAAAGAACCCAGTGCATGAAACATCCCACATCGGTGAGCAGGTCAGAAATGGAGTAATTGGACTCCAACTCTTAATTGAAATTATATACCTAAGAAATTTTATTGATAAGATGAAGGTTCTTAGATTTGATGCAAGACCAGGAGGTTGTCTAACTTTGCTTTTTCATGATTTATCTGGTATGACCTAGTCTCCTACTTATGTACTGTAGATTGGACAAATCCTCCCTTTTGTAACCCGGGGGGGGGGGGTGCATGAAAAACATCCCACAATCGGTGTTTAGCAGGGTCAGAAAATGGCAGTAATTGGAACTCAACTCTTAAATTTGAAATTATCATAACCTAAGGAAATATTTATTGATTAAGATGAAGGTTCTTAGATTTGATGCAAGACCAGGGGTTGTCTAACTTTGCTTTTCATTTGATTTTATCTGGTATGACCTAGTTTCTTCCCTATTATGTTTACTGTAGATTTGGACAAATCCTCCCTTTTTGTAAACACCGGGGGGGGGGGAAGATGTGCGGGAAAGACCGGGGGGTCCTTGTTTCATTTCAAAAACCTGATTGCGTTCCTTTGATATATATCTGTGAGCAAGACATTAGCATACCTTAAACTACTACATAGCATCTTTGGGGGGGGGGGGGGAAGTGTGGGGAAGACCGGGGGTCCTTGTTTCATTCAAAAACCATGATTGCGTTCTTTATATATATTGTGAGCAAGACATTAGCATACCTTAACTACTACATAAGCATCTTTGAGAAGCTGTCCAGCTATAAGAATATGCAGAATCTTCTCATGAAGGGCTTTGCACATGTTTCTCTTGCCATATCTCAATATGCAATAAACAGAAAAAGCTTCTGCATAGGCCTTAATTGTACCAAGATGGAAAATCAAGGAGGAACAAAGTTCCTACACAATAATACAAAAAATAAGAAGTTTCAGAGTAACAATCTTTAAGTTTAACATATAAAGCTTTCTGAATTAAAAGGTCAAAATAATTGCATAAATTAATAAACTAAGTCAAAAAAACAACAAAATAGAATGACCTTCTGACTCGGAAACATAAGAATGAATCTACTGGGAAGTTCAAAAGCATTTTGAACAATCAAATTACAGTTGCATTCTAGACTGTTTTACAAAAGGATTTGAACAGTAAAAAAAATAAATAGTTACAGGAATATCTAAATAGAAAAGTATTGTTTTACAATCTTGAATGAGAAGCTTATAGAGCAATATGACCAGTAACTTCATCATCATCCTACTTCAACTTTAAAAAAAATGCTAACATTTAAATTCCTATTCATAAATTTTTCAGCCCCTTCCTAACAAAGTGAATGCTAATAATTAGCCTCCTTCTTTCTTGAAACTCCATGTCCTTTTCTTAAGTTCATTCCAAGTTACTAAGTGAGCAATGGACTATATGAAACCACATTTCAAGCCATTCAACCCAACACTCTCATGCAGTGATACGAGAACCAACAATATTTTGCTATGTGTTTTTCGATGGACACTCAAATAGAGAAGAGACAGGAAGGTTGGCTCTCACTTGCACTCTTAAGAGCTATTTAAAAAACTTGAATAGCCATTTCTTATGCCTCAATTTCCTATATGGACAGGCAACAAGTCATATCAACAAATCGCAATTGTTATGTGCATGATCATGTCTTGCAAAACATGTCATAAAATATTTCCAGCTGTTTAGAAAGGAAATAAATAAAGCTGTCATTAAAAGCTTTATAAACAATAGCATGCCTCCTCTGGTTGGTAGCCTTTCCTATGCATGTCCTCCATTATTCGGAAAGCAAGCATATACAACTTTTGCTTACAGAAGTATTTGATTAGGATATGGAAAGTATTATAATCAGGACGGATTGTTGATTCATCCATTTTCCTCATTGTTTGCATTACGCTTTCCATGTCACCAGCCCTGCAATAGGCACGCAGCATTGCATTTAATATAACCAAGTCATATTTTTCATATTGGGTCTCAAACTCCTTGGCCAATTGCTTTGCCTCATCCAGAAGCCCCTCTCGGCAATATGCTGAAATCATGATACTGTGAGAATAGCCATCTGCAAGAGAGAAATGAAATATATATTGTTCCTGAAAGAAAACAAAGGAAGATATAGCTGCAGACAGCAAACAGTGCAAAAGTTTAGACACCCATAAAATAACTAAAAGGACAAGAACAACAACAATAACAACCAAGCCTTAATCCCAAGTTAGTTGGGATCGGCTTTATGAATTCTTTGTTTTTAATATCTGCTCTAATCAAACTACTAGCAAAGCAAAGTCAGAAAAAATTTTGAATTACTTTTTGTAGAAAAAAACTTTTTGGAAGGGGGAACTTTGAAATCGTTTTAATATAACTAAAGCACAAAAGAACAAAATCAAAGGACTCAAATTAAGAACTGAACAGTTAACAGACCAACATAAATGGGCACTCCATTTATTTAAGTCCCTGATATGGGCATGGTACTAGTGTTGGCCTTATTTGCCAAGTGAAGCAAAAAGTTTTGAAACTAGGAGTTCTACAAAATCCCAAGGATCACCAAAAACAAAAGAAAAGCAGAAACAACAAAGAAAAATTTTCCACAATCCTGGTGCAAAATAGTCTAAACCGTCAAAAAATACTTAGCCATGAACAGAGTGGAATTGAAGCAACGAATTCATGTAGCTAACCCCAACTAGTTTGGGATTAAGGCTAAGTTTTTGTTGTATTATTAACTTCATGTATAAACAATATCATTTCAAATTGGCATTCAAATTGACAAAAGCATTTTACTTTATCCATAATCACAGTTAGGGGTATGCATATACAATTAGGCTTAGAAGAAGTATCAATCTCATGAAGTACATACCAGATTTAACACCTTTTCCTTTCATGTCATCAAAAACTGATCTCGCTTCATCTATATGTCCGGTCTTGGCTAAGCCATCCATCAATATACAGTAGGGAATCTGAAAATGAATTATCATGATATTAGATATAGAAGCACAGACTAAGGAAGCAATAAGTATGTTTGTAGCCACTGAAGCAGTGCTGATATAAGACCAGTACATGAAAGCACAAAAACATAAAGCTAATCCACTACTTATGCAGTAAGCATTAATGAACAAGCTGCATAGAGAAATCATCATGAACAAAATTAGCAAAAACCTACAATGAAGCCAAGCAACTAGATGTTATCCTACAAGGACTACATGGCTGTTTCTTGAATACTTGTTTTTTTTCCCAATCAAATACGCTAAATTACCATAAAGATAGTATAAAACAACAATGTTCATTCTTTAGCCTTCTATAATGTGGTCAATGTCAGGTAGATCACACATGAACATAAGATGCCGAGCTTCAGTTTTACCTCATCTTGAGCAAAGCCCAAACTGTGCAGTTCAACTAATAGCTCTCTGGATTTTTCAAACAGGCCTCCTCTAACATATGCCTTTAGTAAATTTGTCCATATCACCTGTAAAGATTTTTTCAATGAAATTAAGGAAAACTGAACCAGAGGCTGTGAGTTAAAGATCAAAGCAAAGAACCAAGTCTGTATGCAAAATGAGGGGGAGGAAAATAAAAGCATATATGCAATATGGTGCATTCATGACTTAGATGTACATAAAAATGTTTTGAGGCAAATCTTTAGCACATTGATTGGCTTCTCTGCGATGATTTTTAAATCCTATAACATTAAAAAAGTATATCACCAATATAAAAAGATACCAATCCTACAAGTAATAGGATGCTCTCTCACAAAAATTTTAGTGACCTCAGATATGGTAGTTTGTGTGAAAAGCTTCCCACAGCTACAACAGGAGCATTATGATATGTAGAAAAAATATATTTGCCCAAACTTGTTGCACATATAGGACAATAGTATCTAGAATAATAATGCCTGACTTGTTAGAGTAAGGTTTGTAAAGAAACCCCACTACCATTTGCTTATCCTTGACAAGTCAATACAGAGTACAAACATCAACTACCAAGTTTGTACATCTACAGTTTTAGCACCTCCAAGGAAGTGGTTTACCTACTAATGATGAGGTTAAATAGCCGAAGAGGAGGTTGCATATTAAGACAGTGATGAAAAATGAAGAGGGAGGACAACAATTATGAGAATCAAGTAGAAGACATCAACGACAGGTGTCTTCTCTTCGAGAAATTAGTTAAATATAAAAACTTTAGCTTTTTACACCATTCGACAACTTCAACAATCTGATTTTAACTAATTGGTCTAATACAGTGGTTTTCATGAAAATTGCCTCTTATTAAGTGTCACCATTTGCTTGTTCCTCCCACTGTTGCTATGATTTAGACCCACATCAATCTACAGGCATGATGATATTGAGCTTATTCATAAATAGATGAAACTTAACAATGAATATGAAAATCCACTTGAATATAATGTGCACAGAAACAAACATAAATACGATTCTAGTTGACACCCAAATATGTAATGGCAAGAAAAACATGAAACAAACCTTATTTGGCACTAACCCTGAAGATTTCATTTCTCGCACCAATTCCTCAGCCTTCTTGTAGTTTCCATCTGAAGAGTAAGCATTGAGCAAAGAACTGTAATGATATACATTAGGCAAATGACCTTCATACTTCATCTGGTTAAAATAGCTCTGTGCTTCTTCACATCGATTATTTGAAGCACAAATTGCTAAAAGTGTCCCATACATCACACTGTCCATCTGGACTTCATTATATTTCAGTTCTTGAACCAAGTCTAATGCCTTAGAATACCCATGTTTGACTTTAATGCAACCTGCAAGCAGCTGTTGTTGACAAGAGATAATAGTGATGAAGCTGAATTGAACAGTTTTAGAAAAAATTGCAACCATGTCTTCTCTTTCCTAGTACACAAAGAGTTGTCCAGACAACAAAATGGGCACAGCTCTTTATGAAGATTAAAATATGTAGACATCCAAATGATCTTGTTTCATTACTCCCATAATTGGCTTTTGAACTACTTAAACTACAATCAGAAATAGAATAGAAGCTGTGCAAGATCCAAGTGAATGTGGTTACAATGTGAACTAAACCACACACAAGAAATTAGCACCGCAAGTATATAAAAATCCATTATCAATTCTTACAAGCAACTAAAAAATATTTTGCACGTTGGTTTGTTATATGGAATAAGAAATTCTGAAAATCTAAACTGTTGCAACTATGACGCTGAAAGCACTATTTGTTTTAGCTTGAGAATTACAAGGTAAGAACTTATAGATATAGATTTATTGCAACAAATATGTTCAGAAAACAAAAAATTTAACACTTTCATAAGTTTTCAAACAAAACTTTTCAGTCAAAAAGGGGAAGTAACACTCAGATTGCTAATACAAATAGTTTCCAACATGAAACCGCCTATCATCATCTTGCAGATATCGTTCCAAATTTGTATGACTAAATGGTGTTTCATGGAAAAATAAATGAACAATACTACAAATTGAATTTGGCATACCGTACTATATGTAATAGCATCTGGTATGAGACCATTCTGCTTCATCTCATGAAACAATTTAATGCTGCTATTAAACTTGCCGCTCCTGACCAGGCAAGTAAGAACAGAATTACATATGAAGACATTACTCTTTACTGATTCATCCACAATGCTATTATAGATTTCCAGCGCTTTAATAGGGTTGTGGCTTTTTCCCAGGAACGTTATGTAACTGCTGTATGAAGAAGCACTGACTTTACTATGTTGTTGCATCCAATCAAAAAGCTGCAATAATTTCAAAAGTAGGACAAAGCAATAAAGGATTATTTCATGATAATTACCCATGAATAGAAAATAATATATAAATTACAGAAATCTGTCCATTCGATTTAATTTTTATTGTAATAAACCATGTGATTGTAAAGCCTCTTGTGTTAAATAGTCATTCATCACTTAAAAATAGAATCACATACACAACAATGCCATTACAGAACAACATTATAACATTCTCTAAATGTGAATTAAATGCTTAAGCGTATATAATCTCAAGTCCAAATATTAATAAAAATGAACATCATACAGAAATGAATGCTTCTGATATCACTATTTGATAATTGATAGTACACAAACAAATTCCTAAATTAGTAAACCATTTCAATTTTAAACACTGTGAGATTCAAAAATCAAACAGAAAGGAACACTTATGGAACAAAATACTCTTATAAATAGGGTAATAAATTTGTGGCTCAAATATTCTTCTAATCTAGAATCACTAATTTTGTTAAGCCCTTGTAAGTAAGGGACTTGGATATATTTTCAGAATTATATTAGTGAAAGAACTAAAACCTAAAAAGGAGTAAATTTCAAAGAAAAGGGGATCTGTCATGCAAATAAGACCCTTTGAAAATACTTAAATTGAAAATTTGAAGAAACAGAAAAAGGCATAATGGCCATTGAACTAACAAAAACCTAATTACACATACAATGCATATCTGTATAAAATACCAGAACCAGACAACTCCAAGTGTTAACCTGTCAACTCAGCTCTAATAGTTGTTGGCAAATCAAAATGAAGTAAAAGAGCTTTCAAGATGTAGCACCTGATAAATATCCTTCCATCTGCTTTGCTTGCCGAAATTTCGCAAAATGACATTCAAGTCTTGCACCTTCAATGTCCGTCCTACTCTGTAAATGGAGTAACAGACAGACTTGTTCAATCACCAAAATGCATTTTAACTAAAATGCTCGACTCTATAAAAAATACAATATTTTAAAATAAAAGTAATGAGCAGAGGTTGCCACAATATTGTCTTTAAAGCACAAAAAGAATTTTTCATGCGCTATATTCCTTTCTACTTTGGCCAGCGAGTCCAAAGCATCTTTCCTTTACACAATTCAACTTCAATTCCATTAACCCAATAACCAAAAATACATAATAACTATTAAAGCAGACAATTTGACAGATAAAACACACTTCAAAGGGAAGATGCAAAAAGAAAAAAGGGAGAACCTTTGAAGGGCAGAGTTCAAATCAGGAGACTCCTGAACTTCAAGGATGGCAGCTTGTCTGGCTAAATAGGACTTTGAGTGACGCCCTTGAGCAGGGACTTCACCACTTGGCGGCTGAATATCTGATTCTTTGACAAGCGGTGTTGCTGTTGTTGCTGCAGTTTTAAAGGTGCATTGAGAATTCTTCGTTTTTGTTTTTGTGGTAGTGGTAGTGGGAGAGGATATAGAAGGAATTAAGGGAAAAGACGAATGCGTTGGGCGAGTGAGGATATTGTAGAACCCAGTACCCACGGTTGGTAACTCCATTTTGGAACTCTTTAGCTTAGATGGATAGCTCTGAGAAAGAACAGTGTTGGGTTCAAGAGGCCGGAGGCTGGAGGATATTCTGAGGACTTGTATGGTAAATTTTCATTTATTATCTAATAAAGTTCCCAACTTTATGCTTGAATCATCGGAAATTCCCAAATGCTTTAATTATACAAAACTTTTTTGTTTTTCTCTAATTATATATAATTCACTGCAGGCAGAAATTCAAACTTGGATGTACTTTATCTCAACTCTCATGAAAAACACAAACTTACATTAATAAAAAGATTTGATTAATATAGTGTTAATATAATCAGAACTATAAGAAAATAACTTGATGTTTTAGCCTCTGATTATTTTTGTGTATAATAAGGATAAGTGTAAAATAAGAGATGAAAATTTGTTCTTCAAAAAAAAAAAATAAAAATGAAAATTTGTTGGAGTTTGCAAAATACAATATTTGGGAAGAATGTGAAATAATGAGTGAATATAAATTATAATAATGAGTGAATGAAATTATCTTATTATAATTTCATTCCAATTTTTATACATGGAGTATATATTGAATATAAATTATTCTAAATTTAAAAGGGACTTTTAATCTTTTTTTTTTCAATAACTATTTTTTAATAAAAAAAATTCATTTGTTCCGAGTAAAATAAAAAGTAATTTAAAAAGCTTAAAAATTTAATAAACAAATGAAACTTGATGTTATAAGAAAAATATAGAAATTAGACTATCACCCAATTTTAACTTTTATAAAATTGATAAAATTTAAAAATTTTATGTACTAAAAAAAAATTATTTACATTTATACTCTTTTTTAAATAAATAAATAATTAATTAATTAATTAAATTTGTAAATAAAAATTTAATTTTAGAAAATAATATTTATTTTTCATTTAATTAAATCGCTTGCCAGTCAAGAAAATCTAAAACCTTAGTCCTTAGATACTTAGGATTTGGGATTGACTTTGACTATAAGGAGTAAAACCCTCGCGACATCAAAACTTCATAAGCAAATTCCCGAACAACGGTTTGTGTTTCCCTACGAAAGCAGGAACCGACCAAATCTATCTTCTGTTTCAGATACAGTAGTTGTTCCTTTCGATTCTGTAGCTCTCTATTGCGACGGTGATGGTAGGGGAATTGGCCAGAAAGTTGCCGGAGCCTGCCGCAGGCGGCGGTGGCGTTGACTATATGGAAATTCTGAAGACAATGGACCGTGAAGAGATTTTGGAAGTTTTGTCTGAAGGGTTTTGTCAGCACTGTTGCGCTCTTTTAGAAAGTCGAATTCATAACTTCATTAACAGTAAGATACCCACTATATACTTGTTTTCTTTTTGCTTCTTTAATTGTTCTTCTTAAGATTATTTTGTTGTTGAAGTTGAAATCTTTTGTTAGTCTTGCAGTAGAGTGTTGAGCGTCTTTCTTGAGCTCTGTTGATTTCTTGTTTGAGTTGTGGTTCTTGTTTCAAAATTGACTCTTAAAATTGTGATAGATTTGTAAAAATGTGGGAATCATAGATTGTAAAATTTAGTTATCTTGCTATGAAAATGGAATTATATGAATTCTTCTTTCTTGTTTCGCTTTGTGAGTTTTTCTTTTTCTTTTTAAGTAAGTATAGAAGAATAGTTTCATAAACTTGAAGACAATGTTTTCTTTTAATAATGTCAACAGTGATAATTTTACAAGAGCTTCTTTTACCTTTATAAACCTATTGCTTATAAAAAAACCTTGAACTGAATGCAATTTTGTTTGGCTATTTTGTCCTATTATTATGTTTAATTTCTTTGTTCTTGTTCTTGCACTGTGTTTATGTTGGGCTGAGTTCAGGATCTACATTCCCGTTCGAGAAAGCTTTTTCTGATTGATTCTTAAGTTTTTTATTATTTAATTTCTTGATTTGTGTTCTTACAGATGAACAAAATTTCTGAAGCTAATAATTATTTTCTCACCTTTTTTGGCAGAAAAATTTAAGAAAATGCCCTTGTCCAATGGCGGTTCAAAAATGCTAAAAGAATTTCAGCCAGCAAATGATAATTCAGAATCTTTATCCCCTGGGCAAGAAAGTCCTCCCTCAAGTTCAAATCAAATGCTTGAACATGTTTACTCGGAGAGGAAAAAAAGAGACAGTATTAATTCTTCGTCTGCATCAGCTAACAGCCATCAGAATCTTATTGATCATTTCGGTTCTGAAATATTGTTGAATGATGGATTAGTGGATGTATCTTCTATGACAGACAATGGTCTATCGGAGGAGCAAAAGGAGCAAATTAGGTTTTCAAAAGTTGGCAAGAAGAAGGATTTTGTTTGTATTGAGAGGGTCAACGGAAAGTCGACCAATATTCTTCAAGGGCTTGAGCTTCATACCAAGGTTTTCAATGCTGAAGAGCAAAAGAAAATCGTTGAGTGTGTCTATAACCTACAACGCATGGGCCAAAAGAGGCAACTTCGAGGTAATTATAGAAAGGAAATCTCTTTTTTTTATCATTTTCTTGTTTTATGAAGTGTTAACTGTTGAGATGCTTAGGAATATAAACTCTCCATGCTCGTTTACCCTTTCTTTATTTGTTTAATTGCAGCACGCACATATTCGGAACCTAAAAAATGGATGCGTGGTAAAGGACGTGTCACTATACAATTCGGATGTTGTTACAATTATGCAGTGGTACTTTTTTTTATACTTGAACTGTCTATCCTTTGATATTACTTTTAAATATGAATAAATTAAATATATAAATTCAAAAATGTCTTACATTTGCCACCTTGCAGGATAAGGATGGAAACCCTCCTGGAATAGTTAGAGATGAGGAAGTCGATCCCCTCCCATCTATTTTCAAAAAAATGATCAAGAGAATGGTCAGATGGCACGTCTTGCCTCCAACATGCATTCCTAACAGCTGCATTGTGAATATATATGATGAAGGGGATTGCATTCCTCCTCATATTGATCATCACGACTTTCTGAGACCTTTTTGCACCGTGTCATTCTTGACAGAATGCAATATAGTCTTTGGTTCAAACCTGAAGATTGTTAGTCCAGGAGAGTTTTCTGGGTCTGTCTCCATACCTCTACCTGTCGGGTATGTTTTATGTCCTTGATCGAATATTATTTTTTTTCTTTAATTGCATTATTCCTATGTGTCTCGTGACTTTATGATCCAAAAGATTCCTAGTTAGTTGGTGACTTTGTGATCCAAAAGATTTGTATTTAGTTGGTTTGAGTAATTTTTATCAATGAATGATGTTTTTCTTTTTTGTTGTGAATGTCTTTGTTTTATTCTCTGGGAATTGTATTTAGAACAATTATTTAGGAGTGAACTTTCACTGTTCTATCATTTTAATTTAGGATGCATATTAACTTTTGCTGTTTATAATTTGCAGATCAGTTCTCATTCTAAATGGTCATGGAGCTGATGTTGCCAAGCACTGCGTTCCAGGAGTTCCAGCAAAAAGGTATTTACTGAAACTTGGCCGCTTGCAGCTAATGGTTCCACTTAATGATACTAAATTTCTTTTGACCCTTAATACCGACTGATTTACTTTCATTGTTACAGGATTTCCATCACTTTCAGGAAAATGGATGATAGCAAACTACCGTATAGATTCTCACTTGACCCCGAGCTGTCGGGAATCAAGCCTCTTTTGCATTCTCCTTCAGTGAAGTCACCATATCAAGAAAGCCATAAGCCCAACCCTCTCGGTTATCATTCCATCTCCAAGTCACCAGTCCAGCAAAAACACCATCAAAATGGCAAACCAACAGCAAATAAACCCGAAGTCAGTAACAGCATGGACACTCCCTTTGCCATTGACAGAGGTGATTTTCCTCCACTTGGCAGCTCAAGTTCTTTGAAGCAATCTAGGAATAATAGAGCTGCTGCATTAAAACATTAATTCGAGTGGCTTTTTATTTTTATACCTTGTATAATTGTTTCCATTGTTATATTACTAGATAAAAAATTATCTCAATAAGATAACAATAATTTTTTATTGTCGAGTGTTTGAATCTGATTTAGCTGATGTTTTAAGAAAATCAGGAAAAATTAAACTTCCACTGTCTTTTGCAGTCTGTGTAATTAAGAGTAATAAAGGCTCTTTCTTTTTCCATTTTCTTTTTTTAATTATGTTGTCAAGATTCTTATGAACTTGATGCTGGAACCTTTCTGAAGGTTGAATGACCTTCCTGTAAATTATAATATGATTAGTAGAAGGCAAATTTTCTGTATGTAATCTATTGCAATAAAGGGGATGTATTTGCAGTTATGCACAAGGAAAAAGCTGGATTTACTGAGTTCTTTTTTTTTTTTAACAACCATTTACGGAAGAAGTAGGCATTTTTTACTGCAGAAATAGCTTGAGTGTTGCAAACTTATATGGCTTCTTGTGATGATTAATTAGAATACAAAGAAGAGAGATTTTCCATGCATGGAGGCATGTAATTAATACACAAATATATCTTAATTGGCACCATGAACAGGGATGAACTCGAATTAGCGGAGTAAATATTTAAACAACTAAGCGGTCTGGGAGATGATTCATAAAGAAAGTGTAGGTCCTGGATTCGGAAAAGAAATGTGAATGTAAATTCATAAAGGCTTGAATGTAATGTTTTTGGACCGTACAAATTAGGTATATCTATTTACTAGTGATTGTGACAAAAAGCTACGTCCACTTAAACAAAAAGAGAGAGAGAACAAAATGGGAAGAAATAAAGCTTGCTGGTCTCTTTCACTTTCACATATAAAATCTAGGTTTTAGGTTCTTTTTAGATAGCTAAGCATGAAGATGACATTTAAAGAGGTTAAATGAAAAGCTACTACGCAAAATGGAGAAGTGGAAGTCTTTCATGGAAAAGCTAATGGAAACAAACAAATCAATGAAAGAAACTAAAAGAACATAAATATGCAAATCTTACAATTCTTTTTCATAAAAGGGTATAACGTGTGTTCTATAGCGCTATAAAGAAAGTGAAGTTCATTTTCTTTTCTTGGTACATAAATTCTCTGCTATCCGTTTAACGGTTAGAGAGCGGTTTGCTTTAAAACCCTCTCAAGATTTGACTTGATCCTGCAATCATCAAGTGGGATATAACGCGCTTCAACCACTAGATCAAGCTATCTTAGATAACTTTTTACTTTTTTTAAGATACATTTACATTATAAATATTTAGAGAGCGATTATGCTTTAAAAGCTTCTCAAGATTTAACTCGAGAATGCGATCATCAGGATGGAATCTAATGCGCTTCAACCACTAGATCAAGCTATCTTAAGTAACTTTTTACTTTTAAAATACATTTACATTGTGAATGTTTAAGTATCTTTTTATTCGGCCTCCCAATTCGACTCGGCTTGTTTAATGTCTTATTTTGAGGATTAGATGATTTTTGACACGATGAAATTACAAAGTTTGACCAAAAAAGAAAAAGTATAGAGTCATATGGGCGGCTAACATTTGTATTTTCACTAACTCCAATTTGCTTAGATACGTTATTGGCATTGCAAGTTCAATAAATTAATTATTTGTCTAGCTTTCAAATGAAGCTCAGTGGAAACTGCATCTATTCCTCTATGAACCTTTTTTTTTTTTTTTTTTTACTTTAAAAATATTTAAATGTTTTTACATTTTCTGAATTATCTTTAGCAAAGTAAGAATAATAGAATTAATAAATCCTTTAGTTATATATATAAGTCCTAACGTGAATGGCCAGCGATGAGATTCGTATTCGGTATTCCATAGATCATAACTTGCATTAACGCAAACACTTCCATTTCTGATTTGTTCAAGTAACAAAGCAAATCAAATCCATGATTTGTTTATTCTTAATTAAGTCATTAGCATCGTTTTTTATTTTTTATTCCTGAAAATTTTAAATTTTCTAAACAACTGTACACACTTGCTACACCGAATAACCGGAGGTTATTAATAAAATTACAGAAATATATATTTTTAAAATATATATAAAATTACAGAAATGTACATAATGTGCAATTGTGTGAATCGAATATATACCAAAAATCAGGCCCATATCTGATCATGCATACTACAAACAGAATCACTCACGATGAGAATTTCTTGCCGACCAAAAACTTGCAAACGTCAGCGAAATCTCCAATGTCGTATCATAAAAGAGGTGATCAGAATATCTTCATTCAAGCTACAGGCTACAGCTGCCACCATATAATAAAATAAAATAAAAATCAGAAAACCATTGTCACAAATCCCAAATATTAATTTTTTAAAAAAAATATTCCCCGCCGTAATTATGGTTTGGACTGAAATCACAAAATCCAAACCGATTAGATACATTTGGATTTGGAATGAACCATAAATCGGTGGGTGACAAGTCGATTCTAATTTTTATTGTCAAAATAAAATCGAATCAAAATTTCAATAATAATTTTTTAAAATTAAAACCGAATCAAAATTGAAATTAAAAAATAATGCTAAATACATCTATAAATACGATCATAAATTTTTAATATAAAAAATTTTTAAACTTTACTATTCGAGAGATTATGTTTTTAATTAAAAAAGATAAAAATAAAAATAAAATGAGAATTCAAAAGCGATGTGTGCTGTAGCTTGATACACGCAACGGACAACAGCCCCACCTCTTCCCCCATTTATGCCTTTCTTTTCTTTTTTATTTATTTATTTATTCTACTCCTTTTTAATTTTAATCTATTTATTTATCATATTATTATAATTTCAAAAATAATAGTACTAATACCACAGAAATACGTTCCTTCAGAAAATAAATAAATAAATAATCAGGTACAGCTCAGAGCACGCTTTTCGCTTCCCTATCATCCAATCATCTCCGAACCTATCTGGGACCCTTATATATTAATCAAATCCTCAGGTGAGATCCACGAGATTAACTGATTATTTTTACAATTGATTAGTCTTTTTTGATTAATTAAATTTTAATCAGGATTAAATTGCCAACTTCAAAATTAGGGTTAGATATAGATTCGGGTAAAATCGTTCTAAGCGAAATTGATTCGGTTTAACTTGATTTTAACATACTTAATTCAATTTTCGATTTAATATAAACATTGAATTTTTTTTATTTGATTTTTATTACACCTAAAAAAAATATGATTTGAACAAAATATCTAAAAATTGAATTTTGTCAATTGAATTTGATTAATTGGTTGTAGAATAATTAATTTTATTTGACTTTTACTTTCAATTTATTTCATTTTAAAATATCAGTTTGAATCGAACTCCACTAAATGCTCATCGTATTATAAATAAACTCTAAGTATTACAATTTTAGTAATTGTATTAATGATAATTCTCTAAAAATATATAAACAATAAAGGTTTTTTTTGTAAAAAGTATGACGTAAAATTTATAAATGAATTTACAAGAAATTTTATATAATTATTTTATTCTAAATCTTAATTATATTTGAATAAAGAGAAATGAATATTTTTTTTATAAGAAATATTAAAATTTAGATACTACCAAAATTTATATTATAAAAATGATGATTCCAAAATAAATCCTGTTAACGCAAAAAGAATATATAATAAGGTGGTCAATATCCAAAACATTTCAAACATTTTCCATCTTCTTTTCCTTCCCATTCTCCCTAATATTTTCTTCCTGACTTTGGTACGTGGGAACTTTCTATTGTGGGAAGGACACGTGGCAATATTCTTGAGAGCAGGTGATGCTCTTCTTGTCTTTTCAGTTGGAGGTGAAAGTGAAAGGGAACTTCATGCATGGGCAACTGACACTAGAGAGAGATCTTGTAAAATAAAAAGATTGAATTTTTGTTTCTTTTTTTTTTCCTTTTCGTTTTTATAGAGAGAGGTGAAATGTCAATTCCACCAGAGGATCTGGAGGCGCAGGAATTTTCAGAAGGAAACAACAAATAGACCCTTTTTTTGTTTCTTCTCTCTTTTCCCTGCCCTTGTTTCTCGGTTGCTCCCTCTCTTTTGCCTTAAACTTTGGGATATTCATTGTTTCATTAAATCTTGGTTCATGAGTGAGGCACATAGAAGGAGATAAGAAGGGTTTTTCTTCTTATTTGAGCTCACTTGCTTGGGAGATGGATTGTATTTTCTAATCTGCCTCAGGTGACTTTCTGGTGCTTGTACCTAAATTGTGCGTTGATCGGTTAGTAATTGTTTCATTTGACGTTGAAGTTTAATTCTTTTGTAACATTGAAATGATTGGTTAGTAATGGGTTTTCCTTCTACTGTTAATTTTTAGTTTTCATTTGGTTTATATTGATGTAAGTATTGAATTGGGTCATTAACATGCTATGGGGAGGATATGTTCAAGTTGGCCTCTTTCTGGGGCTTTGCCTTTTAATTTCAATTGGTAGTTTCGTTCATAGTTGAGGGCAAAAAATAAAAAATAAAATAAAGGTACAAATGTAAGATATTATTTGTTGGAACTGAAAGATATTATATTTGTTGCAATTGGTTCATGGTTTATTATTTGCCAACTAGATAAATTCAGAGGTATCTGTGATACCCAATTACTGCAAATTTGCCTTCTGGAATAGAATCTGATAAGGAATTGTTACTGTGATCCAAGAAGTTCCATTTAATTGTGAGAATAGCCTTTTCTTTTTCTCTTTTGAATAAAGAAGGATGAGGAATCCAATAGCTATTTGACATAAGAAGATTCTACCTTTTTAATAATTAGTGGTGGCATGCAAATTGAATTTTTTGGGATATGGATATGAGCAGTTGAAGTTGAAGGCATCTTGTTGAAATTATCTTTTATTTAATATCATTAGCTTTATTTTAGTTTCAGAGCCAAAACCACAAATGGTGGTCTTACAGCAGTTACTGAACATGGAAGATACTGAAGGGTACTATACTTGTCTGACAAATCTTTCTTTAGATTTCTACCATTTCATTACATGCAACAATATATGATTTTAACATTTTTTTTACACATATATGTATGTATCTTGCCAGGGATGATAATAAGAATGTCTTATCAAATGGAGATGTCTATATTGGTGACCTTAAGGGAGTACTTCCTCATGGGAAAGGCAAGTATACATGGACAGATGGAACAGTCTATGAGGGCGATTGGGAAGAAGGTAAAATGACAGGAAAAGGACACATATTTTGGCCGTCAGGAGCAAACTATGAAGGTGATTTTTCTGGCACTTACCTTCATGGAATTGGTGCTTTCGTTGGAAATGATGGTTCTGAATATAAAGGTGCCTGGAGGATGAATATACAGCATGGGCTAGGGAGGAAGCAGTATTCTAATTCTGATGTTTATGATGGTTCCTGGAAAGAAGGAGTGCATGAAGGTTGTGGTACATACTCTTGGAATAGTGGAAATACATACATTGGGAACTGGAAAAGTGGAAAAATGTGTGGAAGAGGAGTTATGAAATGGGCAAATGGTGATCTCTTTGATGGATGCTGGTTAAATGGGTTGAGACATGGTTCTGGAGTTTATAGGTTTGCAGATGGGGGTTATTACTTTGGGACGTGGAGTAAGGGCCTAAAGGATGGGAAAGGAACATTCTACCCTGCTGGAACTAAACTTCCATCCTTAAGGAGGTGGAGTACTTCTACAGGTTATGATGACAGTGGAAGGAGTTCATTGTCTCATAGTTCATCATTGAATTCAGAACAAGGCAGGGATACAGCTGCAAGACCAAGTGTCATGCGCAGTGTTTCTGAGAAAATTTCAATTAGTGGAATGATAAGAAATTCGGGTAGAATATCACACAGAACTGCCTCACTAGACGAGCATCGGAGTGCCTTTGATTCGGCCAGAGAATTAATATCTCGTGAACCATCATCTGTAATTTCCCGTGCCTCTGATGAAGCAGAGGTGCAGGTTAGAAATACTGTAGTTTATGAAAGAGAATACATGCAAGGAGTTCTGATCAAAGAGAGAATCAGAAATACAGAACCATCACGCAAAGCTAAGCAGAAAAATAAATTTCATGTGAAAGAAGCAGAAAATATGTCGTGTGTGGGCATTTTTGGAGGCCATCAGAGCTATTATCTAATGCTTAATCTGCAACTTGGCATCAGGTAAATGGATAGAAACCCATTTCTCCCCCTACTCTTGTATCATTTACTTTTTTTTCACTCTTCCTTGTTTTTGTTCCTTTTCTTTTCTGGGTGAATAATAACTGTTTTGAAGGTAATCACTCATTAAACTATGGTTATTATTTATTTGTTATTTGGTTATTGATGTAATGTACTTTTCACAATATTGCCACTTGGCCAAAATGCACCAGAACTGACTGCATCAACACTTTGTGAAAGAATTTACCCTGCTTTGTGCGTGAAATATATGTTAAATGTTTCTCTTTCTTGAAGTCTATTATCTCCTGTTAAATTAGTCAAACACGATGAGCTGATAGGTATTTAGACTATCTGACCATTTCATTCATAATAGTCGTGCCATTCAGGCACATTACAGAGCTCTTTGCCATCTATCTTGTATAATATACATTTTATTCCAACTGATATTTGATAACTTTAAAAATAATGTTAGTTTGGTTGTTGGCATTGCCAGGTGTCTAGTTGGTAAGCCAAATAACATAGGTAGTATATTATACTTTGTTATTCAGTTACTTGCACTGATACTTGTTAACTTGTAAATAGTGCTTGTTTGTTTGTTGGCAGTCAACAAGGTATTTTGTTGGTAAACCAAAAAGATCGGCAAAATAGGTCCCTCAACACTCAAATGATATCTGAAGTTACATTTGGTAATTTCTAAAAAAAAAAAAAAAGGTTACACTTGTCATTTATATATACAATAGCATTCTTTTCCCTTAACAAACACTCCATCATATGATAAGTTTTCACTCTTATTTCAGCTTCGGTTCAATGAACTGTATAACTATCTTATGATACGATATTATACTTCCATTTCATCTTTTTCTAAATGGACTAGATTATATTTTACCTCCTTGGTTTTTGGCTCGTTAACATCTCTTTTTGGTATGTGTCCTTTTAGCTTGTTTCTTAAAGTTCTCTGCATTTTAAATAATTGATTTTGAAGTTCACAGGTATACTGTTGGCAAGATCACACCAGTGCCAATGCGTGAAGTTCGAGGCTCTGATTTTGGAGATCGAGCTAGGATAAGGATGTATTTTCCCAGAAAGGGTTCTCAGTTCACACCTCCGCATTATTCTATCGACTTCTATTGGAAAGATTATTGCCCTATGGTCTTCAGGTATTTATCAATCATTTCTAACATATATTCTATTGATTAACATTGAGATGGTACACAGCTCCATCTTCTGGCAATAGTCAGTTGCAGACAGTTCTGAGTTTTTCAATCTGATACCAAATTTCTACCTGCTGTAAATGATGGAAATTATTCTGTTCTATTCCCTAGTTGAGAAAGTGATGATGCATAAAGCTTTTGTTCAGATACCATGATAGATTAAAATTTGAGTTTACCAGTCCAAAGCAGGTCTTACTGAGTCAGGCAAAGTGGCTGGGTTACTGATCAGAATTCTAGAAGTGTCCATATATAGATACTATACAGTTCCCCAATGATTGATAAATTTGATTTTCTTGTTTTATAGGACCTTTTTAAGACAACCCCAGTTTGTTAAAGACCAAGTGATTGAAAAAAGATTGTGTACTTGCTTGCTTTATCAATTTTTGCCAAAACGCCCTTGAGTTTGATATTGGCAACTATTGTGGCAAATCTAGGACAGGAGTGTGGTGATGTACTTAGGATCCTGCATAATATTTATTTGCTATGCTGATAGGTAATATTTTTTTAACAATTCTTTTCCTTTTGCAAATAAAAACTATATATTTGCATCAGTTGGTAAATAAAATTTATCAATTTTTTCAAATGAAAAAGAAATTGACAAAGAATAATATTTTGCATTAGCAACATTGTAAAGAAATAAAAGTGCAATTCTTTTTGCCAATTGGGTTTGCTTTTGTTTGTCAAAGGCTACACATGCAGGTTATTGTACTTCCTAACTAAATTGCCTACAGATGTTGTGAATGCTGCAGTCATAATCACGCAAATGAAAATTACAATGATAGTGCCAAAATTGAAATAAAAGGAGGCGTTTTTTTTGGGGGGTTGCTCAGGATATTTTTGTTGCAATGGTAATGAGAGAATTTGATGCCATGATTTTGGCAGGTGCATGATTATTGTGATAGATGGGAGCTTTTATGTTTTCTTCCTCTTATACGAATATTATAGCTTCTGACTTTTGCCTTGTCTAGTTGTCAGCCATATGTAAATACTTGTATGATGGAAGAGATAGGCTACATGGTATGCATAATTCTATGCCTCTTTCTTTCACTCATGTCTCCTTTTTCTTCTCCTTCCTTGTGGTTGGTGAAATTAACTTCCAGTCTTCTATGAGTTTGATTGTCCAGGTGCTTGCTTCTTGATGCCAAATTTTAAATTTTGATGCTGAGAGGATTTAGTTTATTTTCACGCTTATCAGTTTTTTCTAAGTCAATTATTTGTCTGTTTTGTTACATAATAAAATTTGCCAAAAGTGTGTGTGTGATTTAAATTTCTATTCATGGTTGTATTCTAGTTAGTATGTTGTTTGTACTTGATTTATATTTTTGTTCCATACGCATTTCAATTACTTCGGTCATGCAAATTTACAAACCCTCACATATAAGTTCTGGGGATTGAGTAATTTTGCACATATGGCTTCTTTTTCTTTATAACTATGCAAAATGTATGGATTCATAATTTCAGGAATCTAAGGGAGATGTTCAAATTAGATGCAGCTGAGTACATGATGTCAATTTGTGGAGACGATGGTTTGAGGGAGCTTTCTTCTCCAGGAAAAAGTGGCAGCATCTTCTATCTTTCTCATGATGACAGATTTGTGATTAAAACATTGAAGAAATCTGAACTGAAGGTTTGAACCCAGAGAAACTCTTTTAGCAAAATACTAACTGATGAGTTCACTAATGCTAAAACTGATCAATTTTAATGACTTAGCCACTGGAGACATGCCATTTTATCACGTGACGCAAGATCTTTTCAACTTATTGTTTTAGTGGGTTCTAGTATGTGTTTATGTCGGTTTTAAAATTCGAATAATCTTCGTCCTTCAAATTGACTATACATCCTAACCCTCCTGGGAAAAAGAGAAAGCAACCAATTCCTATTTGATTATGCACAACTTTATAGCAAGATATCTCACTATTGCTACAGGTATTCATCCTGATTTTCAATTTTATATCAAGAAAATTGCTTTCATATGATTGAAAATAAGAAATAAAAATGTATATGTGCAGAAACTAGCTGGAGATAACAACATTCATAATTATCTAAATACACTTTAGCTTTTACTAAAATCTGAAAGAAAGAATAGCAAGATTTGTTAATATGTTTTCCCAAAATGAGTTTTTGAGTCATTTATTTCCTAATATAATTATTTGTATTGTGCTTGCCAAAAAAATATGATATGGGCAAATGAATAAATATCCATTCATGCCTTCTCTTTTCTGTAGTTCTTTCTCAGGATGCTGCCCAACTATTATCATTATGTAGGCAAGCATGAAAATACTCTGATAACAAAGTTTTTCGGGGTTCACCGAATAAAATTAAGAGGTGGAAGAAAGGTATTTGAGTTGTCTTATTTCCCTGCACTACTTTCTACTCTCCATATTACTTATGGTTGGTGAGGTTTGTGGTCTTTATTTGTTTTTTTTTTTTAATAGGTACGTTTTGTGGTCATGGGGAATATGTTTTGCACAGAACTAAGAATTCATAGACGCTATGATTTGAAGGGGTCAACTTATGGAAGATTTACAGATAAAGATAAAATTAAAGAGAACACCACATTGAAAGATTGTGATCTAAATTATGAATTTCATATGGACAAAATGTTGCGAGAGTCCCTCTTCAAGTAAGTTCCTTATTTGATCTTGTATTATGTATTTATAATATTGTGCTCAGTTTGGTTTACAAGATTACTTAATTGATAAATCTTAATGGAAGATGCCAAAGGCTAAGGCTTGTGTTATACTGTCAAATAAACCCATGAAGCAATTATCCTATTGTCGCTGGAATAGAATTATTAGAATTGCAGAGGGCATCTATTTTGTAGAAATTAGTTATAGCATTTGATTTTGATAACGCTATCACTCCCTACACTCATTTGATTTATGGTATTTACCATTTTTTAGCTAAAGAATTAGTTCTCAGCTTGTTTTTCCTTTTTCAATGCCTTTTCATAATTATATATATTTGAATGCAATATTTAGCATCTGCAAAATTTCTATTCCTCCTTATATTTTTCAGAAATATTGACACAAGTTACTGGAAAATTAAGATGGTGGAAATGAATTTTTCACAGATTCCAAAATTGGCACACCTTTCCACATCTTATGCATAAGCTCAGATCAAACTGCACTTTTCTTTAGCAGCCTAATACTCAAGTTTGGCATGTGCAAATGGCTTTGATATTTTCAAACTTTAGACATCCCAGAATTAAGCTTGATTACAAGGAGGTTGTACAATCGTCATTCTTAATCTTCTTGATCACAAGGAGGTGGTACAATATAAAGATTATCCCCCATAAGATTTCTCTTACCTTCTAACCCGTGATACCAGACATCAGTACCACTCTTTTTTGTTCTTCTCCTATCTGCACATTAGACTTCTCCTATATCTGTTTTATGTATTTCGGGAGAAAGAACCCAGTTAAATAGGATTAGCTGTATCGGTGGCATCAAGTAGTAATTCTTTTACAGTGTCAAATTGCAAGCTGGACAGGAATCTAAAAGTAAACAAGTTATTTGATCTATGCATCAATTAATATCCTATAAATCCAAAAACAATTAAGTTGTTCATCCGATTTGCTTTGTAGAGTTTACGGGAAGTGGTCCTTAACGGCCTGTTTGGAAAGTAGGAGAAATGGGAAGGAAAGAAAATATGGGAAGAAAATAACCACGGAAGGTTACTTTACCTTGTTTGGAAACATGAGAGAAACTAAAAGTGGAAGGAAAATTTATATCAAATTCCATTCGCGCCTACCACTTTTTAATCTCTCCAAAACAGAGAATTTGGCAATTCTTGAGGAGAATCTGACTATTTTGGCAGAAATTAAAAAACTGCCCCCAATAGTCATGATATCTTTGTTGCTTTTCTTTATGTTTCAAATGACTTTTGATAAACTATAATATAAAATAATTTATATGTATTTGCAATACTTGTGCATATCCTAGTGTTCGGTTTGAACTATTTTAATTTTCATTGTGCAAGTTTCTCTTCTTTTTTTACACAATTGCTCTCTTAAGTTATTATTATTTTCATTCTTTTATTAAGGGTAAAATTGTAAATCTCTAGTAATAATATTTTCTTTCCTCATCTTATTTTCCTTCCAATCCAAACATAGGGTGGAAAGTAAAGAAGGAAAATAAACAATACTATCCTTCCTTCTTTTCCTCCCTTATTTTCTCTCCTGTTTTATTTTCTTTCCTCTCCTTCCCAAACATAGTGTAAATTTTAGATTGAGATCGAAGAGGAAGAAGCCTGCTTGTTTATTTCTTTAGTTTCATGCATTCCTTCCTCCTTTTCCAACCCTGCAGCCTCTCTTTTGAGTGTTTGTAATGAAGTTTTTTTCGCTAATAAACTATAGCTATTTGTTTGAAATTGATTTGGAATATGAAACCAAATGAATTGATAAAAATAGCCTACCCCCTCTTCTCATAATTGACTGTTTGTTGAAGTCCTTTTACCTTCTAATTATATGTAGAAATATTTTCTTTTTTGTGCAGACAACTTTCTGAAGACTGCATGTTCTTACAATCTCAACAAATAATTGATTATAGCCTTCTCTTGGGATTACATTTTAGAGCACCTGAGCAGTTGAAGACATTATTAGAATCTGACGGCTCAGTGCCTGATAATGAGAATTCACCTTCTATTGATGGTAGGTATCTCTTCGTTACAAATAATATTTTATTCCATGAACTGGTTATATTTTTCATTTAGAAACTCAGCTGAGCGTTAAATGACTGTGTATGATTACCTTTATAGTTTTCTGATGTCTCATGTAATTCATTGAATTGCTAAATTGTCCTTTTTTGGTTTCTAATATCCTGCATTGCATGCATGTAATTGTTTATTTGTAATAAATTTAACTACTTCCAACCACTGTATGGAATGTATTTTTCACAAAAGAGGTATTCCATATTCATTTGTCACATTAATTTCACTTCGGGACTTTGTTGAATTAAGGAGAGATTTATTTCTCTAGCCTTCTTTCTTCAAGATCATGTGCATTCATGATTTAACATGTGTTCTAGATAGTCTATGTTTCCTCTGTCCTTAATGTCCTTGAAAAATTTCTTCTTGTTTGAATATTCTGAAGCTCATGTATTGTTTTTCACTAGGTGTAAATTCACAAGGGGAGCCCCTGATTCCACCGACGGGCCTGATCCTAGTTACTCATGAACCCAGCTTTGTCAACACAGCACCAGGTCCCCACATAAGGGGGAATACATTGAGAGCATATTCTGTTGGCGCAAAGGAAGTTGATCTCTTACTGCCTGGCACTGGAAGGTAACCTGCTTAATTTTAATTTTGATGCAATAGACTGAGAAACTCACTAATGATAGGGGGTTTTGGATTTTGGTTTATACACAAGTTGGGTTTGGATTGAACTGCTGAATGCGGTGGTCCTTTGTTATTTTGGTTTATACACAAGTTGCTCTTTGCTAGTACTTTTTCACAGTCCGAGATATTGTTATTTGTTTCCATTTTTCATTGCACTGCTGGTGAATCGTCCTTGCTCAGGTTGCGAGTGCAGTTAGGAGTAAACATGCCAGCTCAAGCTATTCGTAAACTTGGGGTGGAGGTCGATTCAATGGAGGTTGAACTTTTTGAGGTCTATGATGTTGTCCTCTACATGGGCATAATTGATATATTGCAGGAATACAATGTGACAAAGAAAGTTGAGCATGCATGCAAGTCATTGAAGTGTGACCCTCTATCTATTTCTGCTGTCGAACCCAAGTTTTATGCAGATCGATTCCTCAAGTTCTTGCAGAAAGTTTTCCCAGAGCAACCATAAAAAGAACTTAATTAGGTTTTCATTTTTCACCTTCATTGCCATTTTTATATGTAGAGAAAGGGTTTTCCTTTCATTTCTTTCTTCTTGTCATAAAAATTAAATTTCTATATGTATTTCCTTTTTCTTTTCTTCTTTTTTGTGCGTATTTCAATACGAAATTCTTTTACTGTCATTTGTTTGTAAATGGTTTGATCACTGAATAAATGTGTACCCAATTTTCCATTTGTATAGTAATATCAGCTCATGAAATGTAAGCATCAGGTCAATGCCTGTAATGACAACATTTTTAGCTTTTCTTTTGTTATGGTGAAAAATTATTCTTTGTAAGCAATTATTTCTATCATGGATATACAAATGAACAGTCCAAAAAAAAAAAAAAAAAAAAAAATGGTAAAGCAATTATTTTCTATAAAAAAAAAAAAAAAAAAAAAAACTTCTAAGGTTCTATTTGTTTTCAGAATGTACTTGTAAAGAGTTTGCCATGGTTTGAAAAGTGAGATTATTCTATTATTCTAAATCACTTCAAAATCTAGAAGGAAATACTCCATGAAATGCAAGCTTGGAAGCTGGTCTTTTCATGCAAGCTAGTCTTCAAAAAGAGGGAAAATAATAGTAATAAAGAGAGAATTGTACCATCCACGTAAAATCCAAATTTTTTCTTTTTATTTTTTAATTTTTTTTATTATTTATTGGGAAGATGTATAGTTGACATTTGAGTATAGTAGTAGTAATTTAAAATTTTGAAACTTGCAATGCACTTGTCTCATCAGCTTCAGTGCCATGAATTTAAAAATTAATGCTTTCTCCAAAACAAACCATATTAAATTTATCGGTTACTTTTGTATTACCCAACTCATCACCCACACCTCATTTCAGTTCAGGAGTTTCCTGTTTCTAAGAAAGACAAAAAGCAAACAAAAAAATATTACCCACAACTAAGAAGTTGACTCCCATTACTATAAAATAACTAGATGTTACCAAACTAATTGCACTTTCAAACACTACTATTGGATACATCTTAATTAACATATTTTAGCAGAATAATAAACCGATCAATCTAAGTCATAAGGAGTGGTTTAAATGGTAAGATACATAGCCGACAATAAAAAGTATTTATGGAAAGAAAATCTCAAAACGAGATTAATCGCATTTCCGGAAAGAGTATAAAGATATTTATGGAAAGAGAAAATAAAAAAAAAAAAAGAAAAAAAAGCCAAAGCAATGAGATGGTTGATGCTTAGCTAGTGCTTTCATACTTGTAAAGCTCATAGGATTAAGTTATTGTAATAATATCAACTGTTAAGCTTGGGACATTTTGGCGGTTAAAAGTTGAAGTTTTATATATGTTAGAATGAGTGCTATCTTGTACTTGTCTGTAAAGAATTGAATTAAAAAAGAAATTATCCATTTATTTTGATTCTTTTTAATAGAGTTCTCATAATGGATCGTAACCTTACATTTTTTTTTTTTCATATCACCAATTCATATTTTATTTTATTAAATTATAAAATTAGGAAAAACTTATTAAATTCAAAAAATTAAATCCAAGTCAGAGGCTTCCTCTACACATCCAAAATTACATTTGAGTTTGATAAGTGAAAATACGTATCAAAAGCTCCGTACAACAGAACAAAATAGATTTAGATATCACGTATTAAGAGAAGAATAAATAAGCTGCAAATATCAAATAATACAACTTAATTGTTACATCCAAGCTAAAAAAGGTATCTTGACCTCAACAGGGATAATGATCGAGTCAAATTTATTAAAACTTTTCCATTACTTCCATTGGCATTTCTGCTTTTTTGAAGAATCCACCACAAAATATTTCTTGAATCTAACTCCATCATCAAACCTTTTAATCTTTCAATTACAATTTATTAATGCCACTTAGTCATATCAACTTATATTTATAGAGCAAAATAATGACATAATCCATTGAGATATCCAACTAGTATCATTTCTCCTTTCTTATCAATCAAGTACAGTTGGTCACTTTATTGAAATTAAAAATTTTTGATTTAATAAAACAACATAGAACATAGAGATGAAACCGAGGCCTAAATTGATTTTTGATAGACATAATTCATAGAATTAATAGAATTGATTGAGCGTTACATGGACCAGTTCAAATAAATAAAAATAATTTTTGGACAAATGATCAATTAATCTTGTAATTAATGTTCGAAATTCTCTCGTCATTAAGACCGAGATCCTTGCTTCTAGCATTCTATCCTTTTACTTCTAGCAATTCCTAAGGTTTTAATTTGATCTCAGTTCTGCCAATGTCCAAGTCTCCATAAAAGACCTGTAGGTTGAATTCTTGATTCCTATTCAGCCATTTTTAACATTTTTTTTTAATTTGAGATCAAAGTAAATCAGTAGAATCAAATCCAACCGCATTTCATACCAATTTCAACCTCAAAACCTTAAAGTAAGGGATCCAAACCAAACTCTTAACCTACCGATTTGAGATGGAAGTAAATTAGTAGAATCAATCCAACCGTTGCATGCCAATTTCAGTCTCAAAACCTTAAAGGAAGAGATCGAAACCAATCTAGAGTACCGATTCTGATTTGATTCAAGACTGGTATTCCTGAGCTAATTCTAACTAGACCAATAGCAAAAGTTTCATGTTAAAAGTAATATTTTAGGGAATGATTTACCTACCCGTGACGGATAGGTCATTCATGCATCAAACCGATTTACAAACTTTTAATTATAAAAAGAGTATTTCTGATTGTTTACCGAGAAAATGGTGTTTGTGTAATTAGAGTGATGCATGAAATGAGAATGAAAATAATTAGGTAATAATTACAATCTAAAACCAAACAAAAACAGTCTAGAAAATGTAGGTATATTGTTCACAGTTTACAAAACTTTGGAAAAACTAGACTTTTGGTGCACAAAGATTCAAGCTTTTTTTTTTTCTTGGGTTCAAAAGAACTTTTTCTTTTCCATCTTTTTCTAGTAAAAAAAAAAAAAAACAATCACTTAACCCATTATAAGCAAACAGAAAAACACCTCAATTAGGAAAAGATTAATAAGAATCATTACCCATTAAGTGTTAATACTCAAATCAACTCATCTCCATGTCATATCATAGATTCTTTATTACCTTTTTCCATTTCTGTCTCTTTCTTTCTTTCTTCTGTGAATGTTTGGAGAGAGAGAGAGAGAGAGAGAGAGAGAGAGAGAGAGAATGGAGATTTTATGAAAAGTGAAACCAAAACTATGGTCAACTCAAAAAGGTAAAACAGAAATTAGTCAGAGGCATCTTCTGGTCTTGTTTGTTAGCATTTTTGACAAGTGATAAAGACAATGACTCCATGCAAAGTCCAAACAAACACACTTTCTCAGAAAGATTAAGAAAGGAGTTACAAAAACTCAACTACTATACCAATATTTGGAATCATTTTTTAAATTATGGGATTAGTTTATTAATTTAACAGATAAACAATTCTTTAAATTACAATTAATTAAAAGAAAAGGAGAGAGAGAGAGAGAGAGAGAGAGATAAATTTTCCATTACCTGAAGGAGAAGGGAGAGATTTAGATCAGAAAATCAAGAAAGGGTTGGTTGACGGGAATGAAGCCTGGTCCGAGATTATATAGGGCTATGTATCTTTAAATTTCAAAGATAATAATCAAAACCTATATCACCTCGAGCCAAACAACATTCCCATCAACCTTAACCTCTCATGGCCAACAAGCAGAAAGAGATGGTAGTTTATATTAAGGGGAACAAGGGCTGGTATTCTAGCCAACATTCCCTTCAAAAACAACCTTTAAGGGATTTCTTTTTTTCTTTCTTGCTAGAAACCTAAAACCCTAATCTGTGTAGGTGGTAGAAGGACAGAGACAAAGAGAGACTTTCATTTTCTTTTTTTTTTTACACCTTGGAAAACCCTAGCTAGCTCCCTTGGTTTTTATAAAGAAAACAGGAGTAGAAGATTATTGTTCGATGATATGACATTCTACAAAGGCCCACACATTGACCTAGCGCGTGAACTTTACTTCCACTAGATATAGGAATATTGGATATATATTTACATATTATATGCGAAGAAATTAACTTGCCTGTACTAAATTAATTAAAATAGAAATCTTTGTTAAAATGACGGGATTTCCGACTATATTAAAATAAAAAGAATAAAGTATGAATAATTTTAAGAAAAAAAATTATTTTTATTGGTTTGGTTCATAGGTAGAGATATGGATTCAGTCTAAATAAGTATTTTTCTCTATTAAGTTTTTTTTTTTTTGTCTAAACAATTTAACCGAATAATTTTCTTTTTTTTATACCTACTTTACTCCTAAACGATATTAATTAGCCTCTTAATTGAGAGAGAGCCAATAAACTCCTAACGGCTCATTAATTAGGGGGCATTTCCAACCGAAAATTGAGGGAAGGGGGTGAGATAATAGAATCGATATCTTAAAAATTCAAAGTTTCCCAAATTCATTTTTCCCATTTAAAATTTTGAATTTCCCTCGTTTACGTACTCTTGAACATTTTTAATTAATATATGCATATAAATATAACAAAAGAAGGACAAGAGAAAGAAGGGAACAATACTTCTTGCATCATGAATTCATCATTTTTATTTGATCTCAATAATATTTTAACCAATTCGCCTACACATTCTCAAGACATAGTCATAACTTTTCAACTGCTAGATTTAAATTTTTTACCTAGCAAAAAAGGCTATGTGCTTGAACCATTAAGTCGAGCATACGATAGAAAAACCATATAGAAAAATAGACGTCTAATCATATTTTGGAAATATAAGTATATTTAATGTCATTCCTTTTTTTGTCTGTCACTTTTTTTTGTTCCGTGAGCAATTTTCACGCGGATAACAGAATCCAAATAAAGGCATTTTAGACCTTTTTATTTGGCATCTTTTCTAAAATTTCCATTTGAGGTAAAATTTCTATATAAAAGAAACAAGTTAATTGGTAAATTTCTTTGTATAAAAATATCATAAGGTATATGATATATCACATTCCTAGTTTTTATTTTTATTGTTATTTTTTGAGTGAGATTCTAGGGTTCATGCTTATTTATGGAATCTATACGTATGACTGTCAGTTGTTTTGATTAGTTAGCATCAATTTCTTTTTTTGTCTAAAACATTAGTTAATTAATTTTAATTTTTTGAGTGATAAAATTAATTTCATGCATCAATTTCTTTTTTTGTCTAAAAGGAAGTTATGATGTTATTCTTTAGAAAATACAAAAGAATAACATAAAAAATAAAATAAATGGAGCGATATTGGGCGAGTTAAATTTTATTTTTAAAATTTATATCCGCTCTCATCTTTAAATGAATTGAGTTTTACTCAGCTTTATTTATATTCAAAGACACAAATAACGTTATCTTTTCTAATAAAACACTTAAATTTCATCGATTTAAATAAATAAATTAAAAAGAATGTCTTTAGTGACAAGCACAAAAAAATTACTGGTTTTTAATTTTTAGTTCATAAATTAAAAATTAGTGTATGTTTATATTAAAAATTATGAAAAAAATATTACTTCAAATCATAGCTCGACGAAAATCTAACGCTCTCCTATGCTGAGTAGAAGAGAGGCAGCAGCAGCAGGGTCCTTAATTATGCATTTACTGAAACTGTTTTTTCTTTTTTTCTTTTTTTTTTTTTTTCACTATAAAGCTAACTTGAACCGTAGGCACCGTACGCACCCACATGAAACGTGTTTTTTCAATTTTCATCTCACTTGACTGTCTATTACTTGCTAATGCCTGTCATTTAGACTTCATCAGCTGCTGGTGTCAGGTTATACATGAGTGTCCAGGAGTAATTAATGAATTTTATACCCATATTTTTTTCTCTTCACGGGTCTAGAAAATGTGAGGAGTGAAAGGTCTTAAATTCAATCATCTTCACTGCTAAAATTTTTACCAATTCAGTGAATGTTATTCAAAAAGAAGAACTACTTGTGTAGCTATTCCAACGCATTAGACTTTCCAAATTTTTTTTAAAAAAATTATATCCGTAAAGAAAAGAGATAGATTAAGTGATATGTCACGTTTGAATTCAACCAACGATCTTTTTAATATTAGAATTTAATAGTGGACAGTCACGCGTAATAATACCAAAAAAAAAAATAATTTCATATATGAATTGAGAAAAAAGAAAGAATTGCTTGATAGATTTTTACCCAACAAGAAATTTTGTTATTTATACTATTCTTTCGTAGTGATAAGAATAAATGTGGATTCCGCTTCTAAACTTATTTACTTGGATGAAAAAGATTAAATTTGAACTTGTTTGAAATTATTAAAAAGGTCAAATGAATTTTTTAAATCAATTTAATCCTTGAATTTGTTTTTAAATTTCTAAAAATTAATAAATTAATTCAATTTAATATGATTGACTTTTCTCCTTCTTATTCTCTACTAAAAACACCATATTAAAATTTTTCAATACTTCTGAATAAAAGTTTAAAATCTATGAAAACATCATACATTTCATATGCATTAATCCAATAGTATAAGTTAATTTTAAAATATTCAAAATAATATATATTTATGAATTCAAATTCATCATTTAAGGAAACGGGGATATAATATATTTTTATATACCATTTTCCTCAAATTCAATTAATTTTTTAATAAATAGCTTGATCCCAACTGTAGTCTTAAATTTTTATAAATACAATAACTAATTAGCTGCTAAATTGAATAAAAATGTTAATTATTTTAAATAAATTCAGAAATTAAATTGAAATCTAATTTTTTTAATCATTTTAAATGGCATAGTAAGACAAACTAGCATATATAATTTGATAATATATTTAAATTTGAATACTTTAAATATTAAAAAATAAATAAATGAATTTACATTTAATAGAACATGAAATTTGAGGAACTCTTGAAGAGTGATACAATTAATTAGGCGCGTGAATCTATATGCCTATTTAATACTTGACAGCCCCCACTCAACAAACCCAACCCCTGATATAAATAAATTTTTTTAGGAAAAAAAAAAAAATTGGTGCATTGGAACTCACGCGCCTTGATCGGACGGTGCAGATTCGCCCACATCGTACGCCGTATGGTGAGGGTAACCACTAGTACCACGTGCTTGAGTTTAATGCACCGGACGAACTGTCATTGTTTGTGTTTTTCTTTTGAGGAGAAAAGAGAGGGCCCCACTTGGAGTGGTGAAACGTGGCAGAATCAAGGTGGATTGATTTTGAAGGGAGTGGGACCCACAGGAAGCAATCATGTGTTAATGATGAAAGGAGAAGAGGAGGGCGGGGTTACCGGGACGGGGGTAAATAGATGTGTCAGTCAGATAATATGGCAGAGCCAGAGAGAGAAGTGCGCAGGACAACTCGTGTGGGTTGGGTTGTGTTGGCTCTTCTTTTCATTCTAAATTTCCACTTTGACTCCTTAGAGTTGACTCTTTCTTTTTTTTTTTTTTTTTTTTTTTCCACTCTTTGACTCCTTAAGGAGTTGACTCTTTGCTTTGTTTTTTTATTTTTCTTTTTTTGATAGGGAAAGCCATTTCGTTTTTTCAAAATATGACAAACCGATCACTGTGTAATTCTAAATTTGGTCTCTTCACTACTATACAGACCGAAAATTTTTTTAAATTGAATTCTCTCAGAATAAATTTGATTTAAAAAAAAAAAAAAAACTATTCTTAACTCACCAGTGTTTCTTTTTTTTTTTTTTTTTTCTTTTTTCTGGATAGGAAAGCCATTTCAGTTTTTCAAAATATGGACAAACCGATCACTGTGTAATCTAATTTGGTCTCTTCACTACTATACAGACCGAAAAATTTTAAAATTGAATTCTCTCAATAAATTTGATTAAAAAAAAAAAAAAAAAACTATTCTTAACTCACAGTGTTCTTTTCGCAAAGCCAGTAGCTTTAATTCAAGAAAAGAACTATTTCCAGTTATGTAATTCGCAATGTTACTATTCCCAGTTATATAACTCCAAGTGTCTTTTCCGTCAGAACCAGCTGACTTCCAAATTGAAATTTTCAGGATGGTTCTAGGACATTGAAAAAAAAGAAAGTAATGAAAAGGAAACCTTCCAGGACTGAATTTCACAACCCATTAAAGCAAAAATGAGGCATATCGAGAACCCAAGAAGCAAAGTTCACTGACTTCCCTGGCCCATCAAAACCATGCTTTGATAATCCTATGGGGTACACTCAAACACCATAAACAGTATTAACCATTGCAAAATCTTCAAATTACAAATGCAAACAGGAAAATGAAGTCCAACATGTAAATATAATGAATTTAGATCTTTCTGCTCAAGTATTCATTTTGTGATTGCGAAAGACAACTTCGGCCGAGACTTGTTCTTTCCCAACAATTTTATCTGGTTTACACGTTCTTCCTCCTCTTGCTGTCTTTTCCTTCTCATTGCTTCCTCCTTCTGTCTTTGGAGCTCTTCTAGTTCTCGATATCGTTCCTCCTCTCTCCGCTGCTGTTCTAAAGCTTCCTTTCTCTGTGATTCTTCCACCCTCCTCCGGTTTTCTTCAAGCATTTTTTCCAGCTCTTCTTTCTCTTTTCGAGCTTGTTCCTGCATATTAATAAAAATCAAGAACAAAAATTAACAGAGACTAGTAGAATCTGCGAGTTACTTCACTTAACAGCTTCTTACATCCATGGAAGCAAAGAGAGGTTGAAAGAGATGAAACACAAGCAGTATATAAAGTAAAGCGATAAAATCATACAACAATCCATATTTCAACGGTTGTACAGTACTTTATTCATATAAGGTTATTACCTCTTTTCTCCTGGCCTCAATAAGAGCAGCTTCTTTTTCTTTCTCAAGCTGAATGGCCACTTCCTCGTGAAGTCTTTTCCTTCCCTCCTCCAAACGTCTCTGAATTTCCAGCTTGATCTCCTCTGAATTCAAGCTCTCTTCAACTTTCCTCTGAATAGCTTCTTCTACCCGCTTTGCTGTCTCTTCTTCTATCAGTTTCAGTTCAGCTTCCTGCTGGCGCCTGAGAATAAATGAAACAAATTAATCCAGAAAATGGCCACTTACAGAGGTGTGGAAATTGCCGTCATTTTCAAACGTCTTCAGATCCACATAAAAGTAAAACTAAAACAACATATGACATTCAAGCTCCCTTTCTTTTTCATTATATATTTTTTCAACTCTCACTCCACTTATTGTTAACTATAGTAAATTGTAAACTAACCTTCAGGTGACAAAAGGTACTACAATTATACTTATGCATCACGATGAACTACAGCATACCTCTAACCGAATCCTGATCCAAACAAATGAGTATCAAAACTGGTGAACAGTAGATAAACGAAGCACCCAATTTCATCATCAAATATAACAAGTTGAACTATAGCAGTATCTTCCTTCAGAAAAGCCTGTGGAGAAGAATGTCAAGTAACCTGCTGCAGCTTTAAAACTAATCATCGAAATAGTTTAATCCTTGCACCAAAATACAATTTGTAACAAGCAAATTTCTATGTTGTTCTTTTTTAGGTAAAAATGTTTGTGGTTAATGGTGCTAACGCAATGATAAATTTCAGTAATTTCACGCTTAGAAAACATTTAAATGAGGAGAAAGCACAGTGCTAGTGATGCAAGGCAAGTTGAATTTGAAGTCAGACAGGCACAAACCAACCAAAGTCAAAGCAGAAACCTTTTCAACATACTCAGTAAATGCTAACAAAATTAGGGACAATCAAGTTGAATACAATTTTAAACATTATAATAACAGAAGGCACTTTAGTTATTTCTGGTTGCCAGATCATTTCTTTAGTGTTGTAACTGAAAATCAATGTAATAAATGTAGATCGGGTATTATACAAGAGAGCAAATAAGATGAATTGAGGAAGTTTTTGCCAACAAGTGAAGTACAAGGTTAGACCCATGGTGCAGAGGAAATTTGGTGACTTGTTTTATTGAGCAGGGTCATTTGTGACCAACGCAACTCTTTGAAGGTCCATAAATCAAAAGTGCCCTGTAGTTGGGAAGTGTATGTCCTTTCTACCCAGAACCACATTCTCGCAGCCCACCCTTGAAACTCAGACGTCAAACAAAACCCTTTGAAGTAAATGGGTTAGGAAACAGGCTATGCTTAACTGGCAATGGAAGCTTTTAAAGGACCTCATAACTGCCACCTGAAGCAGTTATAAGACTTGAACCATGTCAGAATCCCTATAGAGTTAGTTTGCTAACCTTTATCCACGTAATGCATAAACAATAAAACATGCAGCACTAAAGATTATAACAGATCAGCAAGGGATTTAATAAATAGAAATTCTCAATATATGAAATATATTGATAATAAATGGGTTTTCTTGGCCCTAATGTAGGCAGGAGGTTAGATTCAAGGGACAGAAAAATAATGCATGAACTCTAGTTCATTATGTTTTGATTCCTAAAGAAGTAATAAAGTCTTCAAGCATTTCTAGACATGAGGATGAGAAGGAAACTAGCATTTAAATAACTCATTATTTGAGGAAGATATGCCTCCAATGAAATTAATTGAACATCGAAGTATCTTTCTCCAAGTCCAGCCTTACTAGTATCCAAATAGGGAAATGATGCAGCAATATTATTGATAAAGCAGACAACAGTGGCAGAAAATAATAACTAGAAAACATTATGTTGCATGTTTTTTCTTTCAGGAGGGAGAACGGGTGGAACAAAAGTATACTAGCATGTCGAAAACTTATAAGAAGCTAGTGGCAATCACAATTAACTAATCTTCTCATTATTTTCTCTCAGAAAATGGCCAAGCTAACGCTATTAACAGCAGAAACTCCATCTTTTAACTCAAGTTCTATGTTTACCTGCCCCCTAATTGGTTTTTTATCAATTTGGACCAGAATTATATGCTTTCTTCCTCTCCAATCATGTATAAAGGCTTTTATTTCAACAGGGTAGGCCATAGCTTAATAATTCAACATAGCCCTAGCACAACACTGCTCAACACTAGTATTCTCTGTCCTTTAACTAAAACTTAATAACTTAAGAGCTAGCAATAAAGCAATCCCAGAGTACAGATTCTCCAACTAAGTAAAATCTTCCATAATTAAAGCCAAAAATTAATGAAACAAAGCTCATTTTAAAATATAAAGCTCGACCTAATGAAAGGACTTAGAAACATGACAATGTTCTGAACTGAAATTTACAGTGATTGATTTACCTCTTCTTCTCTTCTTCTTCTTCTTTTCTCAATTTTTCACTAACAATTTTGCGTTCCACTAACCCAAGACTTGGACTAGAGGATTTATGAGTGGGAGTCAATGAGGAACTCCTACTCCTTTGTTTCTTATAACGCCTTGGAGTTGGAGAACGACTTTTACGACGTCTTGGTGTTGGAGAACGACTTTTGCGTCGGCGTGGAGAAACAGAACGACTTCTCCTTCTGTATGATACAAAAGAAATTATGAGCAACAACAGCAAGCAGAATGAATCACTAGTGTACACAATAACTTGGGAATCCTCTCACCATTTACCACAATTAAAATAGAAGCATATACAGTTACCTCATTCATTGTTAAGAATAACCATTGTGTGCTCCATCTTTTATCATATGAAGAAAGTAATATCAGAATCGAGCAACAAAAGGACACCGATCGGCACCCATCACCTGCTCATTTCCCATCCCACTCGATGAGAAGAAACAAGTTTTTAAAATTTTCTTAGCATGAAAACTATGGCACCCTTTGCACTTTTCTCCCCCAAAAAATTATATTTTGTTTCCATTCAACTTCTCCATGTAAATGGCAATTCCTCAAAAAGCAGATGCCCCCACTGAGATAGTGACATTGACTATTTGTTTACAAACATAACTATAAAAATTTCAGATGAAATAAAGGCTTGAGTATTCGCATGAGGGTTGTCAAATATTGACTCCTATGCATCTAGAAAATACTCATGGCACCCATATAAGAAGTCTTTCTGAACTGAAAATTTGCATAAAGATACTTGATTAAACAACCAAATTATCCATTTCCATCCACTGAAAGAAGAAAACAAAGAAGCCAAATAGCAACTTGATATAGAATCCAATTCAAAGCTGCTTTCAGTGGAATGCTCTAACTAAATTGCCAGGTGAACTTTGACATATGAAATAGGGTTACACCAGAATAATATTAGAATGCATATCTAATTACCCTATGAAAAACTTCCACTTTGCTAACCTGAAACAAAATAACTTGAAAAACATTTTTACATAAACAAGATTAAAAATGAAAGGAAAAACATTCATTCATCAAATAACTAAGGCAATGTTCCCCATTTGTGCTTTTGCATCATCATGCCTTGAGTTGGCATTCAAGTTATTTAGCTTCACATTTTCAGTAATTAAAATGAGATGCCATCCAACATAAAACTCTTAAGCAAAACCATATAGATCACGTGGTAAAAAACAAAGGATTGGTTAGATAAGCACCAAAAAGATCAATCAAGAAGGATAAGATGCGTACAAATCAACTTGAAAAATTTGTATTTCCAATCGGTAATAAAAAAAAAAAAAAAGCCGTCAGTCTTTCTTACACTTCCTCGAGAATTAAATACATCAACTAAATAGCAAGAACATAAACGGGATCACCTGCTGCTGTAAGAGTAGGATGAATATGGAGATCGGCTCCTGTCCCTTCGGCTCCTCCTGCTATGCCTATGTCCCACTGGCGATGGCGAACGCCTTCGCCTATATGAGGGAGACCTTGACCTTGATCGTGACAAATCCCTAGGCATTTTCAATAGACTTGAATATATTCAAGTATTTGGACTCCAGAAGATATTTGCTCAATATCAAGCTTCAAGAGCCAACTAAAAAAATGCCCTGCAAAATCAAAAGGTTTCAAACAGTAATTTCATCACTTCAGTCTGTTGCCAAGTAATTAAAAAATAATAACAATAATAATAATCCAAGTAGACAAGAATTAAGTTTCAAATCTTAGACTATAAACAGTAACAGCTCAGAAGAACATATTTTGAACTACAGACGTAAGCAAAAGATTCATAGAATTTCAATTCTAATCAATTAATAGAACCCTTAATGATTGATAACATCAAATTTCCACAAAGCTAAAGCTTTTCTTACGTACTATAAGCATATAAAAAGAAATATGACTTCGAAGTTCAGTTCCACAATGAAATTCCAGAATCCAACAAAGCTTAGAGACATTTGCAAAAGTTATCGGAATGAGGACCTGAAGTGAAAAATAGCAGAAATACCTGTCTCGAAACAAATCACATCAAAGATTCAACCTTGGCGACCCTTTGAAGAAACTAATTTTCAAATCCCTAAAAACGATGAGTAAAGGTACCAAAATCAAAACCCTAAACAATAAATTTTCCAACGGAATGAGACCCAGCATATAAGAAAATAGAGTCAATAGACGATTGGAAAATAGTCCGTACTTGAAATCGGGCAGTGGCGATGAATTTGAAGGTCCTTACCTAATGACTAAACCCCTAATTGATTAAAAATAAAAAATGAAAAATAAAAAAAATGATTTCGTTTTGATTTAAAAAACAAATTTAATTTTCTCAAAAAAAATTTAATTAAAAAAGACTTTTTCTTTTCTTTTTTTTTTTTTTAAATATTTGTCCGGTTAGACAATGACACATAAGATAACACAGTGTTATTCGCCAATATTGCTGAGATTTTCATTCATAAAACTAGGTTTCAATGGTATAAAATTTTGGATATTCTTAACTTTTTTATTATTTTTTAAAAAATTGTTAAACAAATTTTAATTTTTACATAGAAATTCTTTTTTCTAAAATAAAATTTGAAATATAAATTTTGATGTTCAAAAATTAATATAATTAAATTGTAATGGATGAAAATGCTCTTATTACCTATTAAATATGCGAATTCTATTAGATACATATTAATTTTCTATGAATTTTTTTAAAATTAATTTCTGTTAAATGATTTTTTTTTTTTTTTTTTTTTGGTTCAATGTATTAAAATTTTGGATATTCTTAACTTTTTTAATTATTTTTTTTAAAAAATTGTTAAACAAATTTTAATTTTTACAATAGAAATTCTTTTTCTCTAAAAAATAAATTTTGAAAATATAATTTTGATGTTCAAATTAATATAATTAAATTGGTAATGGATGAAAATGCTCTTATATACCTATTAAATATCGAATTCAATAGATAACATATTAATTTTCTATGAATTTTTTTCATAATTTCTGTTAAATGATTTTTTTTTTTTTTTTTTTTTTTTTTTTTTTTTGAATCAAGTTGAAGTTGAATGGAGTTTTTATCCCCATATTTTCTAGTTGATGCACTTCATCATAATTTTAATAATTGAAAAAGCTTAATAATTTTCAGTCAAAGAAAAGCTAAAATGGAGTTATCTCTTTATAAAAAAAAATACAAATTTTTTTCTTTTTTATCTTAAAAATTTCTTTTTTTTTTTTATAATTGGAACGAAATACAAAGCACTCTTTCTTCGTATTGGGCCATTGATGAATCTTGATGGGCTTCTCTTGATGGCCCATTGTGTTAATATTGTGCTAGTCTCCTTGTAAGGCTGTAATACTTAATCAGGAGAACGATCATTGGCCAGTCGTTTAGAGAAAGCAGCAAATTAGAGTATATCGAACGACATTGAACGTGATGGCTAGAATTGGGACAATCTCATCACGGAGAAACGACATGGTTTTGCTGAACGACACAACTAAATGAAAGAGGTGGTAGGGATTAATATTTTTTAAATAATAGAGATTAAATTACTTCCAAAAGGCTAAAATAATATTAAATTAATTAAATAAAATTAAACCAAATTAGAAGCTGTTTAACATTTTCAACAATTTAATTAGTACAAAATTAAAGTAAATTAAGCTAAAAATAAACAATTAAAATTATAAATTCACATGTATTATCAATTAACTGGAATATATCTCCAAATTCTTAAAAGATAACACTTTATATCAATTACTTTAACAAGAAAAGGAACTCAAAAGAAAAACAAAAAAAAAAAAAAAAAAAAAAAGAACCCAATAGGCTCTTTAATCATGATATTATTATTATTATTATTATTACTATAATTTTTTTTTTTTAATTTCTGTTAATTAAGAAGGATGAATCTTGTTAGAGGAAATTCCTTTCCAAGCAGATTTCATGGAAGCAGTAGCAGAATTAACTGCAGCTTCAATATACCTTTTAGAAGCGATAGTTGCAGCTTTTTCCATCAATTTCCCCACCTTTCTTGCATTATCAGCTGTTTGTTCTAAGCTATCTAGTTCTGCCTTCGCCATTCTTTCCATTTCCTCTTCGAATCGACGAAATTCATCCATGGCGCTTTCCATCACAGAATCAAGATAGTCTTCAGCTTTATTCATAGCTATTTCTGCTTCTTCAACCTCTTTTTCTTGCTCAAGTTCCATCGCTGCCCATGACTTGTACGCTTCTATCTCAAATAGCTTCATTAGATCTTCGATCGCTGAGGGATCGAAGTTTTTGTCTTGCAAAGCTTGATCAGAGAGTAAAGTGAAGTGGGAGAGGAGAGCTTCCATTTTCTTCTTCTTGATTGCAGATCTAAGTTACTGTATTATGTTAATGAATGAGTAAAATAAGAGTTGGTGGGTGTAGAACCGTATAAAGGATAGATACCTTTTCTTTTTATACGGTACATGAAAACCTTGCTGTGGGTATTTTGAAAAAGTAGATAATAGTAACGGTTAATTCTACTAGTGGCACTATAGTGTGCTTAATGATCAAATAGTCACACTAATAGTTTGTTTAATCGAAAATCGGAGCTTGAACTTAGCTTGTTAAAAAATAATTAAGTCAGAGCTTGACTAAGCTAAATAACGTCGTTTCTAACATAAGTTTTAATTGATTCTTGCTTATTGAGTTAAATCGTGAACTCGACTCGGTTCAATAAGACTAGCTCGAGAGCATAGCTCGCGAACTAATAACTCGAGCTTGAACTAGCTCAATAACTTGGCTCGGCAAGTTTATCGAACAAGTTCGAGCGAACTTTTATTGAACCGAGCTTCGAACAGTTCAAAAGTGATTTGTCTCATTTACTGTCTTAATTTTAATCAGAGCTTCTAAAATTTTAAAGAATGATGGTTTTTACCGTAATTTGTATCGTTTTGTGCTTACATAGACGTAAAGAAATTTAAATCTCAATAGCTCTAATTTTATTTAGAAAATAAATAACTAATTCAGCCAATTTATTGAAAGTTTTCTCATTTTTTAATATTGTTTGATTGAAATTGTTGAATGACATATTCCTTGATAGTGCACATATAAAAAATATACATTTGTGGGAAGCATAATACTCTAGAACCCAAAAGTTTGTTTCTTTCTAAAAATTCTTCAAGCAGTCTTAACCATCCTATCGATGCTTATCTTGCTTTTGATGACCAAATTGGACCGTTGGAGATGTCTTCCATTTTTCTGGTAAGAAGAGAGCAAAGAACAATCTTTTGCTCTCCAAAAGATGGTGTGGAAAAATAGAGATATGGATGCCTTTCCTTATCCAATAGTATCATAGTTGGGGTATCTTCAGTGTTGGTGGGCAGTGGCCAGTGGGGCCCATTCTTATTAACATTGTCAAACAAAGCATAAATTCGTTTGTCGTTTTGTATAGCATTAAGTGAATTGCACCAAATGAAACAAAGAAAGTAGTTTTGGAAATTATTTGGACTTTAAAGGGCTTGGCTAGGACAGCTAATAAGCACATCAACAATTGCATAATTAAATAGGAATTACCCACAAATGTTCCTGCAAAATAATTCAATTTTGAAGCTCTGATTTTGAATTCTTTACATGTTTTTATGATTGCAATTTCAAATTTTAATTTTATGAAATTGAATATAATTGGAGTCGTATGTTTTAGGATTACTGATTAAATTGATTTAACAAAATCGAAAAAAAAAAAATAACGTCAAACACAAAGAAGAACCGATGAAAAATGAAAGTAAAATTTAAAAAAGAGAAATTGGAAATATCAAAAAGAACAAACTGAAGACAAAAAGCATTTAGTATGTAGTTGCAGTCCTCAAAAATTAGGTTTTTGAAAATGTTTGAATTTGGAGATTTTGAAGGATTTGTGGCTTTTGAAAGTTTTTACCTTTTCTTTATCATGATGCTCGTGGTACTCTTATCTTTTACTCAATTCCAATTATTCTTTCTTATTTCTGCTTCGTCTTGTATTTTCAAGTTAGCTTTGTTAATGACTCCAATTGATGATAAAGAGAAATTAGGTTTAAGGATTTTTGATATTCATAGGAGGGGAGAGATTATGTAAGGAAATTTTTAGAGAATATTAATACGACGTGTTTCATTAAGCTAAAGTTAGATTAAAAGTAATTACTGTAGCAGGCGTGGAACCCATCACTTATATTTTTTATTCAATTTTTAATTTTAAATTGTAAATCAGGGTGTAATTATAACATAAGTTTAAAATTGAAATTTCCGATAGACTAAATTAATTTTAGGATAACCTATTGCATTTGGCCCTTATTATCATTGTGTGGGCCGTGGACATGTACACCTATTAGGGCCCGTCCAGAAACGATTAACTTCAATTTGTTATTTTTTTTAATTATCCTTATTTTCTCCATAATTTAATTATTCACTTAAAAAAACAAATTTTCTTTTCAAAATAATTAAATAAACATTTTTATGTGTGATAAATTAAAATAAAATCGTTAGAAAGAAATATGTAAATTTTTAAAAGCCTTAATTGGGTGAAAAGTTAAATTTTAAAAAATTTGGAGCCGATAAAAGTATATTCTAAATAGATATGTTTTTATCAAGCTCTCATATTATTTTTAAAAGTTTTTTTTTTTTATTCATTAGAAGGTCTCTAAGCTAAAAAAATATTGTGGACTATACATAATTGTTTTTTACTCGACAAATTGGTGAATATTATTGCACTGAAAAAATTTATTGTTTATAAATTAATCATAATGTAATTGAATTTTTAATTCTTAATTACTCCAAATTGTGACTCGCATTGAAAATTTGCTAAAAAAAATAAAAAACTTTGAGAAATTCATTACCAACAAGTTATAAATTAATAACAAATTGAAAAAAAAAATTTACATCGGTAATTAAATTCTGAAAATAAGACTAATGTATTTAAATAATTGAAAACAAATTTTCAAATGTTTTTCTTTTAAAAATATGAAAACGTAAAGATAATTAACAAAAAAAAGAATTCAACGGACTCAAAATTCTTATAGCTCAGTTGTAACTTAACTGCCTCTGTTGTACTTTCCAAATTAACATCCTAATCCCAAAAGCTATACGAAGAGGGAGAGTTGACATTTAAAGAGAGACAGCGATAGAAATGTCGCTGGATGCTAAAATGCGCGGGCAGGCGTTGCTGCTACTGCAATTTTTGTTAAAGCTATTGATTTGGGGAAATATTCCAGTGAGCGAAGGAATATGGTTAAATCTACCGTCGACGGGGACAAAGTGCGTGTCTGAAGAACTTCACACCAACGTTGTCGTTTTAGCCGATTATGTTGTCGTTTCTGATGACCATCATCGTATCCCTTCCATTTCTATAAAGGTCCAATCTTTTATCATTTGTTTATTTGATTCAATTTTGTTTTTTTGGTAATGTCTATATATAACGGATCTATTAAGAGTGAGGTGATTTTTGCTTCGATTTCTGTTAGTTGGGTTTGTTTTATTGAACTAGGAAGAGAAGCCCGTTTTGAGAAATAATTTATAACCTTTAATTGAATGAGAATTGAGGGTATGAGTCTTTTTTTATTTTTGAATGTATTTGACATGAAAAGGATCCATTTTGTTGATGCACACTATTTCCTGGTACAATTTGGGAATTGATTGATATTTTTCTTCTTTTGTGAATTTGAATTGAAGGGTTAGACAATTTAGGATTTTGATACTTTTGTGTTATGTTGGGGAGATAGGAACTTATGTTGGGAACCAATGGAGAATTTGGAGTCTGTTATATAGTCAACTCATCCTTATTTGCTAAGTGATTGCTGATTCTTTAGAATTTGTCTGCACAATTGGGATTGTTGAAGCAATAAAGGGATTACTGCCAATTGATGCTTTGAAAATTGAGCATGAGGACATATACATCTTGAGATAATGTTTTCAATTGGAGAAATGGAACAATTAGAACATTGAAACCATAACTAAGATTTCTCACACAACATCTGATGTAAACTTGATTCACACTTCGATAGAATTATATTTGAATTGCTTGACCACCTCATTAAGCATTTAGATAGATTTTATTAAGAGCAGTGGAAATGGTCATCTTAAGATTTTGGTATGGTTGTGTAATTGGATCCATTGAATCAATTAGCTTTTCTAGTGTATGCTTGCTTAAATAGAAATCATCAAGATTCAGAGCTGTTGCTCGAGGCTTCCTTGTCATAGCAACTGGATTCAAAAGATTTACCATTGCTGATTTAAAGAAGACAACAAAGAACTTCAGCCAAGAGATAGGAAGAGGAGGGAGTACTTTTTACAAGGGACTTTGGCCAGATCAAATAATTGGTGTAGTTTGCCTGTTAAAGTGCATCTTCTATTAAGTTGGATTCTAGATTTTTATTTTTAAGGAGCTTTTTCAGTCTAACAAAATTGCTAATTTCTTGCTGTTGGATGATAGGAAAGGTTTTAAGTAACATAGTGCCCGATCAAACAGAAAAATAGTTTAACAGAAAAAAAGAAAGTCACCGAACTCAGCAAATTACCAATATCTTAGGGCACTTAGAAAAGCCTTCTAATGTTTAGTTTATGTGCAATAGCAAAAGTCTGATATTCTTGAATCACAAAGTAAGCATGAAATTTGATTTCTCTCTCTTTGTTGTTTGTTGGAGGAACTGAAGCTATATTGGATGCTTGTTAGTTGATATTTTGGATTTTTGGGAAAATAACATCTATTCTTGATTAGTTTTCATAGATACAAAACCCCAAATTAAACTTCTGAATATCGCTTGTGAAACACATATAATCAAAATTAATCAAGTAGTTCTTGGATTTCTTTTATCTTATTTTTCATTATTAGTCTTAAAAGTAAGATTTCTTTTAATATGAATTTGTTCAACCAAATGTAAATTGGCTTCTGTTTCTTTTCTGCTCTAGCAAAGAATTTCTCATCTCAGTTGTTTCTTCTTTAGGTGACATCGCCATATGGTAACAATCTTCATGACAGGGAGAATGTGACACATGGTCAATTTGCATTCACAACTCATGAGGCTGGCAACTATTTGGCATGTTTCTGGGTGGATGGCAATACTCAAGAAAATTCAGATGTGAGTGTTAATCTTGACTGGAAAACTGGAATTGCAGCTAAGGATTGGGAATCAGTTGCAAGAAAAGAGAAGATCGAGGTAAGCACTCTAAGATTCATCGACCTTCAGACACATATAAAGAAAAAAAGGAGAGGAGAGAAAAGATAAGCAAATATGGGAATCTGTCCCTGGGTAAACATTGAGAGTGAATCCTGCAAAATGCTGGTAGTCATGCTCTTTTTTATGATTGGACAATGTGCTTATTGATCTGTGAACTGAAAATCCCTCTTCTTTATATCATCTCAGTTCTTATCTGTGGATCTTGCTCTATAAATAAAGTAGAGACTGGTACTGCATTCATCTTGAGGTTTAGAAGAGGTTTATATCAGATGGCATTTTAATGGTTATTAACCTTCATTTGGTGGAAAAATATGAGGCTGAGGAAACACGTCATCACAGATGCTAAGCCTAGAATATTTATTCTGAGCGATCTTTGAAGTCTGCCTGTTGTTGGGGCAAAACCTATAATCTAGAAAGGGCAGAACTTGGAGGCAGCATCGAATTTTTAATGTAGTTACCTAGTAAATTTACGAGCGTCATAAATTTGTGCTTTTGTGTTCATGTGCATATGCATTTTTTCCCATATATTGAAGGTCATCTTTGCTTATATCTTCATATTATCCTTGTATAGGGTGTTGAACTTGAGCTGACAAAACTGGAAGCAGCTGTAGAATCCATCCATGAGAATCTGCTCTATCTTAAAAACAGGTAAATATTTTCTTTTATTATGGATGTAATCTAAATGTGCTCAGCTCTTAAGCACCTTTTTTAGTTAACCTAATAATTTGCCCCTCCTGTTGATTATACTTGTAGAGAAGCAGAGTTGAGGAGTGTGAGCGAGACAACAAATGCTAGAGTAGCATGGTTTAGTATCCTGTCTTTGGGCATCTGCATTTTGGTCTCGGTTCTGCAGTTATGGCACTTGAAGAGTTTCTTCCAGAAGAAGAAGCTTATTTAGATATTTATAATCACAATTGCATTTCTTGGTAAAATAGGAAGTTCCCCCTTTTATTCTCCTTTTATTCTTTTCCTTGTATGCTGCAAAAGAAAATTTTTGATACGATTAAATAGAGTAATGTGTTCTTTTGTTTCATCAAAAGTGGGGCTTTTCATTTTCATCTTTAACATCATAAGCTGATGAATACTGTGTTCCATGTTAACATTTGCCTTACATTTGACTATGAAAAAGTTGAGTTCCACTTTAATAACAACATTTGAATTTGATCTTTTCGTAATGATTAAGAAAATAATTGAAACATATATCGATTTTCTAAAAATATATGGTAGAATGTTTAAATAATCATTTTTGAAATTAAATACTCTCCATTTAATTTTAATACAAAACACCTAATAAATATGAGTAAAATTAGAAAAAAATCATTAATATACCTTCAAAATTATAAATAAGTATGTAAAAGTGGAACAAGGTAAAAACAGATTATCTATCAAAATTGAATGAATCACAGGCGTGATTTTGTAATAATTAATTAATTTTTGAAGACTTGGAATCATTGAGAGGGCAACTAGAACACAGAAAATCTTGCTTCCAAGCCAGCAACAAGAAGACATTACTGGAACAAAAGTGATTACAGAACATACACAGCAGTAGATCCTAATACATTCATATTATTCAAGGTTGTAGTAAAACAATGCATCAGTGATGACAATGGGAATAAGAGGCTGCTTGTATAAAGAGAATAATGTCAAGACCTATAATCCTGTCTAATGAACTGCAAAAAATGGTAGATTTCTACTTCCATCAGGAAAATCAAGTGACAAGCATATAGTGTAAAGCACATCAATTTTTATGCTAAATTTAAAATTTACTAGAACCAACTAATCAAAAGAAGGCAAATTCAATATGATACCTTGCTTCTGAGGGGTTAAAGTTTGGAATTGTTATAAATCCAATCATTAAAGAATGACCAAGGCTTCATCAAATCAGTTGTCAAAACTGTTGATTAGTGAAAAGGAAAAAAAAAAAAAAAAAAAAAAAAAATTTTATGCTAATTAAAATTTACTAGAGCAACTAATCAAAAGAAGGCAAATTCAATATGATACCTTGCCTTCTGAGGGTGTTGAAAGTTTGGGAAATGTTATAAATCAAATCATTAAAGATTGACCAAGGGCTTCTTCAAATCAGTTGTTCAAAAAACTGGTTGATTAGTTGGAAAAGGAAAAAAAAAAAAAAAAAAAAAAAAAAAAAAAAAAAAAAAAAAAAAAAAAGGAAAGAACTGATGTGCATCAACGTTACATAAATAAGTGACTCGCAGGTCATTAGGTGAGCTTTTCTTATTCTATTCGAACAATCTTGCGATTCATGCGTTGAAACCTGCAGATTTCATCAAAGAAATCATCTGCACTGCTATGGTTGCTCTTCATTTGAAGAATCCTTATTACCATTGACTTTATACTCTTCCCATATTTCAACAGTGACTCAAGGGTGCTCATTTTCTGTTCTGCATTTAATGGTGATCTGACTGTGACTACTACCTCTTCCATACAAGGAATCACAAAGCCTGACTCCACCTGCAGAAAGAAAGAAAGCATTCATATTTATGTGCAATTTTGAGGGTTTATCTGCATAAAACTTTAGCAATTTTCAAATGTTGAGAAGGTTATTTATGCAGCACATACATTTTTCAGGCTGTTTTTTTGGCAGAGAGCTGCAAACATTGCTCCATGAATATCAAACTTTTGCAGCTTGGGATGGCTATTAAAAAACTCAACAAAGTCAATCTCCGGAAAGGGCAGAAGGGCGTCAAAGTCTCCTGTAAACTCTACTTTCATGTATAATTCCTTCACCTCACTAGCCCACTGAAGCATTTTGCTTATTGCATCCCAACACCACTGGATTCCTCTAATAGACAAGAACTCTAGAGATGCAAGTTTTCCAAAATCCACCATGTAGACTCTCCCTACAAGCATTTACAAAATTTTGATTAATCATAGATAATTAAACTCCCGGCAGTTTCTCAATGGTGAAAATGGCAGCAAATATGACATTTTCAAGGTTTCTGATATATAACCAGTTTGGAAAATCAAAACCTTACCAGCATTATTGGAAATTGAAAGTTTCTTCAAGCAGTTTGTCTCACGAACCCTAATCCAACTACAACCTTGTACCTCCAGGAATTCAATTTTTGGGCAAGTTAGGGTAAGTGAGCAATTACCCAAGCCATAAAAGTCCAGCTTACATTGTTCCAAATGTGGCAGATCAATTGAAACAGATCTTATTCCTTCACAACCCAGTAGCAGCAAGTTTTTCAAATTAGGACATGCCTGAAGGGCAGCATATAATGCTTTATCTTCCAATCTAGCACCAACAATTTCAAGGTTTTGAAGATTTAGGAATGCATCCCACATTGGAGAATTCGTCATTAGGACTCCCCAAAGCTTTAAGGACTCCAAATTCTTTGCTGCACTGATACAATCCAATTTGGAGGGGCTTTCAAGGCAGGTGTGATATTCAGCAAGATTATCCATTCTGAGCTCAAGCTGTTTGAGCGATGGACCTGCAAGTAGTAGCCATGAAGCAAGGCCTGTGCCTGAAAATGGACTATATACCACAAGTTCCTCTAATTGGACAATTGATGATATCATCTTCCACACAATGCTATCAGGATGATCTATGCCAGTGTGGTTATCAAAAGAGTTCCGAGGAAAGTAGAGGCTTTTGATATATGGTAGCGAGTCCTTCCATCGCTTGGATACACAGTTACAAGCTGCCACATCCTTGGCATTTTTCATATGTGACAATATGTACTGAACAATGGCATCTGGAAGAGATTCCATTCTGTGATGACACCAATCAAATAAACATCTTTTATTTACTAGCGTCAAAAAAGAAAAGGCACGTACATAACAAAGATAATTAAACCGGAATTTTTAATCAGACACGAAGCATCAAGTATAAAGAAGTTCTGTAGAGACATTCATTTGCTATAGAGGGCTTCAAATTTGAATTCCAAAATTTAATCATCTAAAGTCTAGGGCTTCAATTAACATTCAGAGCTAGGGCTTCCTTAGATGATATCGCCATCTTTGGCAACTGATTGCTATGATAACCCTAAAGCAAAAGAATGAACAGAGAATTTGGTCTCTTCTTCAACATAAATTTCTTTGTAGTTAAGATTTAGGGATAGGGAGAAAACTTACAATCAGCTATATATCATTGAATTATATGCCTCCTTTATACACAATTTTTTATGAAAAATAAGGGAGGAAAAAACGTTGCATTTTACTAAACCAATGGGGAACCCACAAGAGATTAGCATTTCAAGAACAAATTTGAAACCAATTTACGGAAATGGTAACATTATGAATACACTTAAATAATAATTTTATTCTTTAGGAACAATCCTTACGCTCAATCCACCTGCTGCTCAGGCAGCCCCTCTGGCTCACTCAGAAAAGAAAAAAATGGCACAACTTGAGAGGAATTCATTTCTAAATTAAAAAAAAAAAAAAAAAAATATGGCACAAGCTTGAAGGAATTCCATATTCTAATTAAAAAAAAAAAAAAAAATTAGAAGAAACCCATGTGAGAAGTGAACACCAAATCCCTATAGACATACCCAGTTAAATTTAAAAAAAAAAAAAAAAAAATTAGAAGAACCCATGTGAGAAGTGAACAACCAATCTAAGACATACCCAGTTAAAATTTTTAAAATTAACCACATTCGGGTGCAAATTAAAATTGATACTCAAGAACCCAAATAGAATAATTATGCAAGCTATCTTTAACTCCGCAAATTGAATCTAAATTAATTCAGATAAACACAAGAAATGGGAAAGGCAATAGAGAGCTCACAATGAATGATTAATCTGAATCTCGTCTTTGGGGAGAGGCGATAGTAGATCTGAGCCCTTATGCTCTTTAAGCTCTTTTATATATATAAATAACGTTTAAACAAAAATGAATCTGAAATTTGCAGATGTCTTATATAAGAAATTGGAGAGAGATTGAGTTATAGAGAGAGAAAGAGAGGGCGGCGCGCTTATAAATGAATGTTTTTAAAATTTGAACTATAGAAACGGTATAAACCACCTACTTACGCCCGCTTCCTTTCAAAATTTTGAATTATTTACCGTTTTCAATATTATTTTTAGAGAAAAATCAGAAGGGAATTGATTCTCTGCAACTGCTTCATATTGTTTAATAGACACATGAGGGATCGCATGGCTGCAGATCAATTTGACACCGCAAAGTATCTTTATCAATGGTCGAGATTATCTGGAAAGTTGATATTTTATTTGTGGGTCCTTTCTTTTGGCCCATCGTTTTGCTTTTCCTTTCTTGATAGAGTTCTAAGGAAGCAAGGTGATTGAGAGAGTTGTGAATGATCACATGCTAGAAGATTAGGGAGACTATAATGAGTAGGCTGTCACTGACTTACATGCGAGTGGGTCTACTGATAAATGGGACCCATTATGCTAAAATGTTTTCTACTTTTTTTTTTTTCATTTTTTTTAGAAAAAACCCTGGGACAAAATTATTTATTTTTATTTTCCTTTGATTTTGTTTGGATTAGGAACAAAGAAAGAAATAAAAAAGAAAGGTTTGAAACAGAATTACTAATTTTTGTTTGTATTTAGATATACAAAGTAATAAATTTAAATTATTTTTCTTCTATTAATTCAATATGAGTTTTTTTATTTGTTTTGTAATCTAGAGAAAATAATCTTTGAAAGAAAATAAATTATTTGTTGTATTTCCACAAATTTAACCTTGTTAGAAGTATTATATAATATTTTAAAAGATGTTTCTCTCAATTTAACCTTGTTCTAGCAAGTTTGTCTCTAATGGAATGCAACTCATGAGCTACCACACAATTGATTTTCATCCGCTCTTGTGGTATATCTGCTGAGCAAGACACTCCAATTTGGAACATACAAAACAAGCATTCCTCAATTCTGCAAATTTGGCTTCTTTCTTGAAGAAGAATAGGATCTGCAATTTCAGCCACTTGGTCAAAAAAAGCTATCTTCGCCAAGTTATGAAGGTTCAAACCTTCTTTGAACATGTTGTCAGTAGGCCTCTTCGCTGTCAACAATTCCAGCAAAACAACGCCGAAACTGTACACATCACCTTATGTTGATACTTCGCTTCCTATGCCATATTCTGCAGTTCAAATTTCAAGAAAGCAGTCTTAGCATTTTTATGATTGAATTAAATTAATAGAAGGTGGTAGCAATTATTTTACCTGGAGGAGGATACCCAATAGTTCCTCCTACTTGACTTGAGCTAGATTGCCTGGTGTTTTCTGAAAGAATTTTTGCTAAACCAAAGTCACCTACATGTCCATTCATTTCAGCATCAAGAAGAATATTGCTCGGGTTGAGATCACAATGAACGATTGGTGTTATGCATTGATTGTGAAGATAATCTAATGCAGAACTACATCAATGGCGATGTTTAGCCTCTGACGAAGATTTAAGCCCTTTGATGATTCATGATCTACTTGTTCTCTTTCAGGAATTGGATACCTTGACAAGATTACGATGTCTTATGTTCTTTAATGCCTCACATTCATCTAAGAAACTATTTGAAGCTCCATGTTTGAAGGAGATTCATAACCTTAACTGCAACAATCATCTCTCCCTCGTTTTCCCGTTCAGCTATCTATTTGAAGCTTGGTGGTGAAGGAGATTCAACATTTTTGCAGCAATTGACAACTTTGCTTTGTCAAGAATTCCTTTATACACACGTCCAAAGCTACCTGCACTACTCAAATTAGCTGCGAAGAACCCATTTGCAGCCTTTAGAAGAATTTGGTAAGACACATTACTCGTGTAAGGGTCTAAAGTAGGCTCCTTCTTTTTCTTTCTTGACGATATAAATATAAGTGCAAAAGCTAGACCTGAAAGAACACCAACTATGGATATGGCTATTCTTTAAGGGAAAGCTCAATCTCTTTTTTGGATTTTTTAATGCTAAACAAAGTGGATGAAATTCAGGTATGCCCCCACAAAGTTTGTCATTTCCCATGAGTAATGTTGCACTCGCATTCTTAAAGATTCCTCCTACTGGTACGATCCCTTCAAAGTTATTGTAAGATAAATTCAATGACTCCTTCCAACAAGTCCAATACCTGTAAAAAATCTGGAATTTCCCCTAACAAGTTGTTGCAAGAAACATCCAATTCTCGAAGGCCTCTCAATGATCTAAGTGATGAAGGAATAGATCCGTAAAATAAGTTTCCTTGCAATGCTAGGACTTCAAGCTTTTTGCAATCTCCAAGACTATCAGGAATTCT